AGGTATTCCACAGATGCCGGGTAAATCAATTTGATTGTGGGGATTTAATCTGCTGCTCCTGAGGCTGCACAGAGAAATTTCCCTTTCTTTTCTTTTTTCACACAGCTCCTGGGGTTCAGCGTTGGTTTTGGCCCCACCTCTGCAAGTAGTTCACCCTCAGGCATCTGTTCCCCGCCCAGAAAAGAGGGGGTTAAACAGTGGCTGATTAGGGGGCTCTTCCTCACTCAGGCCAGGGGAAGTGAGGGGTACAGTAGTCATAACTAGAATGTGGGGTGAGCCTGCAGTGGCAGAGACCGATGTTATGTTGTAACAGCCTGAGGGATGCCATGTGTTCTCCTGAGGAAGTTGTCCCTGGGTCATGGGACCCTGGCAGTAGCAGGTTGCATGGGCTCCCAGGGGGGCGGTGGGTGGTGTGGATAGTGACCTGTGCTTGCACACAGGATTCTTGGTGGCTATAGCAGCAGCCTTAGTGTTTCCTGACTGTCTCTGGGGTCCGAGCTTATAGACACAGCTCATACCCTTCTCTGGAGTTCATTTAGGCGGTGCTCTACCTTCTGTGGGCAGATAGGGAAGGAGTCGCCTCTCCTGTGCACCCCAAAACAATGGTCTCTTGCCTCTTAGGCAGGTCCAGGTTTTTTTCCGGACTCCCTCCCAGCTAGCTGTGGTGCACTAGCCCCCTCAGGCTGTCTTCACGCAGCCAACCCCAGTCCTGTCCCTGGGATCTGACCTCTGAAGCCCAAGCCTCAGCTCCCAGTGCCCACCCACCCTGGCGGGTGAGCAGGCAAGGCTTTCAGTCTGGTGAGTGCTAGTCAGCACTGATCCTCTGTGAGGGAATCTCTCCTCTTTGCCCCCTGCACCCCTGTTGCTGTACTCTCCTCCATGGCTCCAAAGCTTTTCCCCCTGCCCAGCCCCCATTTCCACCAGTGAAGGGACTTCCTAGTGTGTGGAAACTTTTCCTTCTTCACAGCTCCTTCCCTGAGGTACAGGTCCTGTCCCTATTCTATTGTCTCTGTTTTTTTCTTTTGCCCTACCCCGGTATGTGGGGATTTTCTTGCCTTTTGGGAAGTCTGAGGTCTTCTGCCAGCATTCAGTAGGTGTTCTGTAGGAGTTGTTCCACATGTAGATGTATTTCTGATGTATTTGTGGGGAGGAAGGTGATATCCACGTCTTACTCCTCTGCCGTCTTGAATGTCCCCCCTCTGGAACCACACCAACCATAAATTTTATACTTCAACATGTGCTATAGATTCCTGGACTGGGTATAAAATGTTGAGAATTAAATGTGACATTTTTGAATTTTAACAATCATAAGAGATAACATGTCCATTTGCTGGTGACTGAAGTATCATAAGAATCTACTTAAAGTGAGGGTGGCAATCAGTAGACTCTCAGAAGGACGAGTATGTTTATTGATAGTCTTATTTTGAAGCTCTTAAAAAAGCCAAGTTTAATGTTCTATTGATCTTCATTTTTCATGTAAGAATAAAGCATTTCATTTTAAGGCACATCAACATAATTAAAAAAAACTTGTTTTATAAATTCATCCAATAAGCATCACGCCATAGTAAAAATAAAACAGTTTAAAGTGTTTGACAACACTGTGTTAGTTTCTACTGTATAGCAAAATGAATCAGCTATATATATATATATATATATATATATATATACATCTTTGGATTTCCTTCCCATTTAGGTCACCACAGTGCATTGAGTAGAGTTCCCTGTGCTATACAGTATGTTCTCATTAGTTGTCTATTTTATACATAGCATCAATTGTGTATATGTGTCAATCCCAATCTCCCAATTCCTCCCACCCTACCCTTTCCCCCTTGGTATCCATAAGTTTGTTCTCTGTCTCTATTTCTGCTTTGCAAATCAGATTATCTATAACATTTTTTAAAGGAAGTAAGGATCCTTTTTTTGGAGAAATTGCCTCGCACAAAGTGAAGGCTTGAATATCATATCCCATCTCTTTTACTGACATCAGTGATTTAAAAGTTGAACAGCATTTGACAAGTTGTGATGAATTCATAACTACATAATGATTTTTGGTTTTTAGCTTTCTAGTGGTGAAGCTCTCTTGATCAGTGATGAGAAAAATGGATCCCAAGATAAGAGTTTAGTCATCATCACTAGCAAGTTTCTTGTTTCTTTCTAAATATAGTATGCCTCAACTAAGAATATTTAAATAGACACTGAAAAATGAAATGTAATATTTCCAGATATAATATAGCTAGGAAGATACATCATTTTGAACATGTGTTGCCTCTCCATGAACTGTCTACGATAGATGGAAGGATTTCTTTCTTAGACATGAGAACCCATTTTACCCAGAAATTTGGTTTATAGTCTCAATGTTCTAAATGTACTTTCATTTTGGATAATATATTTGTCCTTTTGAATTGAACCAATATGATTAATGGGTTAATTTAATTTAGCCAAAACTCTTCTATTTTTATTTTCTGCATTGTCTTAAGATATCAATGTGCTATTTAAAAAAAACCCTATGATTCTTGAATAGGTAAGATTTATTTCAAAAAGAGACTGTGCAGAAGGGCACCTTTTTTCCCTTATCTTGTTCCTTGGGTGAAGTACTTTTGATCAAGTAATAGATCAAATACTTCCCTGTATCAAGTACTTTTCACTGACCATTAGCTATTTTTTTGTTTTTGTTTCTCACCTATAACTTGAAAATGACTTGTACAATAACTTGTACAAGTTATTTTAAAGTTTCTTCCATAAATTTAAATGACCTTCTCGGATGGATCAAAGGCATTCTTGCCAGATAGAAGGAGAAAGACCTGGGTGCTCAGAAGAGGATTTATGATGTATTTGACTTTAAAACTTTAAAGGAAGTTAAAGGAAGCAATATGCAAAGCTTAAGCTTTTTTCCATGCCTTATATATCTATTTTATTTTCTATACAGTAAAGGCTTTCAAAGGGTTAAAATGCCCTGAGAGATGCTTAGTCAACCATTGCAATAAGTATGTTATTTTTAGAAGAAAAATTATTCAATTATGCTTTTTTCCTGTTTAGCTTGACAAATCTTGACACAGAGCTAATATTTACTGAGCACTATTATAATTATTTGACACATATTATCTCATTTGATATAGAATTCTATGAAGTGGGCACCATTATTTTCCTCAATTTACAAATGAGGAAATGGAAGCACAAAAGGTTAAGCCGTGTGTTGAAGGTCACTTGGTAATAAGTAGCAGAGAGAGGATTAAATCCAGGACATAGTTTTCTAGATTCTAGTCTTAAGGCTTTTGTGTTTTGATATTTAAAAAAAAGTTAAATTTAATTTAAATCAGTTATTGAAGTAGTAGCATATAATTGCAGATTCCAATTTCAAATTGGGACTTGTGTTAAAATTTATAATAACTTATTTAATAAGTTTCTAATAAATTTATAACTTATTTAATAAGTTTAATAAATTTATAACTTATTTAATAAGTTTCTATTAAAACTAAAAATAACTCATTGACTAAATGGGATACTAATTCATATAATTAAAATGTAGGTTTCTGTTACATAACAATTTGATATTTTAAAATGCATCTTTCTTGTCTCAAAAAGTTAAATTTTATCAGAATTTATATAAGTTGTATATAAATTTTATTTGTTTGTATAATGTGCTTATTCTAAAATTGCATCAATCATAGAAAGAAGATAATTGTACCAGGATATTACAGAGAGCCAGCTGAGTGTAATGGGAAGCAGAAGCAGATAAATAAGAACTAGAATCTCTTCTCTTCTACTTACTAGCTGTATGACCCTAGTTTTAGTCTGTCAAACACTCTGAAGATTAGTTTTCTCATTCTTTAAGTAGGAAAAATATAATATCTACATTACAGGACTTGAGTAAATGTGATAGTGCAGCTTTGTGTAATACATAATAAATACTCAATAAAGTCAAATTTATTACTACTTACAATTTTTTAAAGAATAATTCATTATGTAAATAAACTTAAATTTTAGCAGAGGAGTTTAGTATTTTTAATAATTAATCACAAACATACTCCTTCCTTAATTAAAACCAATTTTATGTATTTTTAACTTTTTTCAGGAATAAGATATTTTGCAAAAAATAAACTTTGCAGTACTGAATGTGTTGTTTATTATGGTAAATGTTATAGATACTCCTTAAGATTATCTTTCAAATTTATATTAAGTAAAATAGAATTCATTGAAGAAAAAAGGCAAATTAATCATTTATAAAAGATTTTATAAAAATTTAAATGGTTCTTAGAAGTAAACAAAAAACTTAGCAGTAGCTGGAAAATTAATTGCAAAATTTTATTTTAATTATTAAGTTTATTGAGAGGTGAAAAATAAATGAGGTTAAAATAATAAAATAAATTATTAATTTTATCATGAGGTAAAAATAAATGCACACAGTCACTTTGAAAATTGTTAGGGTGGATTACTACTTTGTAATACACAGAGCTATCAATATTTTGGTAAAGACAGCTCTTTCTATTATCATTTATGTCTTGGCAACAAAGAATCTGATAACACAGTAATTCATAACATCAAGTACTTTAGTGTGTATGTTCATCTGCAAGTAATGGAAAAATCAGCTGAAATTGTAATGGTTATGGATGTCAAAATTAATGAGAACAGAAATGCTTTATCTATTAGTTTTGGTAATTAAACCATGAAGACAAGTGGATGTGGATTCTCATATATTCCTGTTAGTAGAGGTTTATCCATACTTTTTATTGCTATATCAACAATTTCAGACCTACCTCTTCCCAAGTTCTTTTGTGGGAAAAGATAACATGACTTTATTAAAAAAAAATATGGCAAGAACTAAACCAAAATCTTAGTAGGAAAGTAATAACGGAACAAAAATCTTAAAGGCTCTTTGAAGAAAGTCACTGGATTCATGATTCTCTTTTCTATAGTAGGAATTGACTGAACAGTTAAATCACCCATTGGTATTAAAGGCCAAGTAAACTTGAGACGAGAAGTTCACTTTATATTTTTCTCAGGTATTACTAGAACTCCAGTGCCTATCACCTCCACAGCTGAAAGTGTGGGCACCACAGGAGCAGTGGGCCCCACCTTCACCAGTCCTGGGCTCATATCAGGTAAATTAAGTTCAGAACAAATATACCAGCCACTCCTAAGCAGCTGGTTTCAGGCAATACTGCTCAGTGCAATATTTTACAAAATAAATGTATCTGACTTATATATAATCAGATTTGGATGTTCTTTATATGTAATTAAAATGTAGACTCCGTAGTTTTTGCACAAGTTACTTTATTATTGAATATCATGTTATAATCATATACACCCGTTACCTTGAGAGTTGACAGCACGCACTTTTTTAACAGAAAAAAACTTTGTTTTTTCTTTACCGTCATCAGGGTCAACTGGAGGATCAGTAAGTGCAACCACAGGCGCTGAAGATGGAAGCACAAGTGACATAGGCTTCAGAGCAGGTGAGACAAAGAAATGAGTCCATAGCTTCTTTCCACAAGCAGTCCTCCTTTTCAAGTCAAGAACAACTGTACTCTGAGTTCATTAGATAACAGGGGTCTGGTGTCAGCACTATGTTATCTGAATGACTTTGGGAAAAATTCAAAAATTAATATTTATATGTTAACAAAATATTAGTGACATTTCTATGGCACACTGAAATTTCTGAATTATGCTGAAATATGTGTCTTTTTTCCCAGGTGGAAGAAAATAATAAAAGTTCTCAAAACTGGCAGAGGCAGGATTAGAACCCAGACCCTTAGCCTCCTCTGTCATAGCTCCACAATTCTGCGATCTGTGCCTAAGAGCAAACATCCAAGAGAAGTCAGTGAGAGTATGCTTGCCCTTGTGCATCACTGACTAAATTTCAACTACTGTTGGTTTCATGAATAAAATATTATTGACTTCTTTAAGTGTAGATGATTTTGATTAAAAACAAACAAGCCTGAGTTCATCCTGTCCCTTATGCTGCAAGTTAGTGACTTTAAATATTGAATAACTCTTAAATTTCCTCTGTGCATCACATTTGCCTCTGCTTTTGATCAGATGTTAAACGTTTTCCACCTAGTCTTTACATGCACCCACCTCGCTCACTTTCCTCTGATACAGTGATGCTCAAAGTGCAGTTCCCAGACCAACAGCATTCACAGCTCCTGCAAACTTTTTAGAAGCACAGAATTTTGGGGCCTACCTGCCTAGAATCAGAAGCTCTTAGTGTGGAGCCAGGCAAACAGTGTATTAACAAGCCCTTTAGGCAATGGATGCTTGTCAATGTTGAGAACTTTCCCACCCTTCCCCACTTCCCTCCCAATTTACACTTTAGTTGATACCACACCAGAATGAACTTACAAAACCTCAACTGTCATCATACCACTCCACTACTTAAAATCTTTCAACTTTTCAGATTGCTTTTAGGATAAATCAAAACTCCTTTATATACCATTAAAAGCCATTTCTATAGTGTTTGCATGGAATTTCTCTTTATGAATTTATTAACTAATCGATGGCCTGACTTTATTTTTCCTATATTTATTTTCCCTTAGTAAATTTCTCAATTTAAAATCTTTGTCAAAAACTTTTTGGAATAAGATATTGTTTGCATAAAAAATAATGTGTTGAAAGATATAAGCTACGGTAGCACAAATTAAGAAACTATTTAATTCCAACTAGATCAGTGAATTGACTGAAATTTGAGGGTGATGACTATTTAGTATATATTTTCTAGAATTTGAATGGGAATTATTTGGGTGATAATGACAAGTCAGTCCAGGGCTTCTCAAAGTTTGCTCTGCCAATGAGTGCAATTCAGAACTGTTTGTTACTGGTCCATGAAGTGATAAGAACAGAAACACAAAACAAGTATTTAGAAACATGGCAATTTGACACAGCAATTTTTATATTTGTTGAATAAAAGCTTATGTTGTGTATGGATTTATTTTTTTAAATTTTATTTCTCTCCTTTCATGGCATTTTTCCAAAGCATCAATATGGAAGACTGAAAATTTTACAGAATTGATCTTTTACTACAGATCTTCTGAGAAGCACGTGTTAAGAGTATGAACTTAGGTCTAGATTGCCTAGGTGACCTGGAGCAAGTCACTTAACCATGTCTGTTAAGTGAGAATAGTAATATTACCTGCCTCAGAGGATTTTTATAGGATTACATGAGTTGATTTATGTCTAGGTTATTTTTCAAACTGCTATTCTTTATGAGCAGGAACAGGGGTCCTACTGCACCAACAACAGGAGATGAGGAAGACGGCACACCCAGCAAACCAAGCACAGGAGCAATAAGCCCAGGGAAATTAGGCAGTTCAGGATGTGCTCCTTAACCCCTGTTAAATGGCACTGAACATATTGCAGGTTGAACTAAAGATTAAGCTCTATGTGGTATAAGACCATCTAGTCACAGAAATCATAGGGATCATTTAAAGTTGTCTTTTATGTGAGAAACCTCAATTCTGTCACATTAGAGAAGAGTGGTATGTAGAATCCGGCAACAGTGGAAGTAATACTCATTCCCTGCTGTTGTGTCAGGGACCCCAGGAGTATCAGAGGGTTTCACAACCACGCATGGAAGCAAGAACACAAGTGGAGACTCACCTACCCCAGGCACAACCCCGGGAGGCCAAGCAGGTATTGAAATGGGAAGTCTGAGGCATCTTCTTACTGACCTTAGGGAAGTAGCCAGCACTTCTGAGTTATTAGTTACTAGTAAATGCACATATTCGTGACCTCACTATCCCTGCATTTATGGGATTAATGGCAGTGTTTCTCTAACATTAGCTCAGAGGTGATTTATAGCAAAGCGTGTTATGTTTCAGATTCTAAGACTCTTGCCTTTGGACTTCTGAGGCTGTGAATGTGAAGTGGGGCTAAAGTCATGGTTTGCAATCTTGGCTACAAATAAGAATTGACTAGAAAGATTTTTGAAAATACATACTGAAGAGGCTTTTACAGAGTAATTGAATCAGAACTCCTGGAAGAAAGACCCAGGCATAAGTAATTTTTAAAAGCCTTACAGTTGGTTCCAATGTATAGGCTGGAGCTGAGAATCACTGGGCTAGTGTATCTGTATATTTAATAAGAAACCCAGATGGTTCTTATGATCAATTTTTGGAAAGAGTGAACTGGGAATGTATAAGTGTGACAAGTCTTTTGAAAGCAGAGAACAGCATATTCTGTTCGCTTAACTAAAGATCTTTATATATATATACATATATATATATATGTATATATATGTAATTTGATATATATTGTTTATTTTGAAAGAGACTACGAGATCATCAGCTGGTGAAACAACTAGAGCACCAAGCAGTGAAGTGACACAATCTGAAGGTAAGTTAGGTGAGTAGAGGATCTCACTGAGGCCATGACTTTTGTCAAAAAGGACAGTCTTTCATCAGAATACCATTCATTGCACTTAGTATTAGTTGATAACATACCATCCAACAAAAGATGTAGGATGTAGAATAGTATAAACATGATTAACATTTTCAAGAAGTCTTTTTTCTGGTTTCTCCAAATCTTCCCTTCAAAAGTACTATAGTACTGGATTGTCATAATAATATACTCTCCCAATACTGTTTATCAGGTGTAACAGGAGAATTTGTTGGAACTACCACTGGAACTGGCAGTGGCATCACAGCTAGACCACCTTTCCATGGTTCCAGCCCAACTGGTAGCTCAGAGTCAAGGTGCAGGTCACCTGGACACTTTGGTGGTGCTCCATCAGGATCTGAGACTCCAAGTTCTCATGAGGAATTTAGGTGAATTGAGCAATGGCTATGGATTTAACAGTTATAATTTTAGGACAAATGAATATGGGTAGTTTGAGCATTTTCATTACAACCATCTACGTAGAGTAGAGTTGCCAGATAAAACACAGGATGCCATTTAAATTTGAATTTCACATAAATAAGAAATTTTTTTGGTATAAGTATGCCCCATGCAATAATTGGGATGTGATTGTTGTTTATCTAGAATTCAAGTGTAAATGGGTGTCATCTATTTTGATATGCTATATCTGGCAATCCCAATGTCCACTGAGAACCATTGTTCTTTTCAATTAGGAACAACTGGAGGGGAAAATGCTGCCATCACTGGAGCTGCTGGTGAAAACACTTCTGGAGCAGCAGGTACTGAATGAACATAATCAGAATAAAACCAGACAATGGAAATGTGAGTTCTTTACTTAAAATTTTGTCAGAGGCAAGGTTTTCTGGAAAATTTAATTATTATTATTTGTGTGATGTCAAAACTGATGAAGATCAGAAATAAATCAAGAGTTATTTACTGATGTGTGCCCACATCACACTGGGTGCCCTAGAGAAAGTAGGAGAGGAGAAGAGTAAGATACTTATTCTCTTAGAACTTGATTTTTGAGCAGGAAAAATGAATATTTATATACACACAAAGGCAAAAACCATGTCCAATAGAAGATAATCTAAATCGAGGAATTGTTCAGTGACAATTGTTGAAGTGGGAACTCAAGAGGACCTTCTAGTAAGAGAACTGATTTGTTGGGGTTAAAGGCAACAGAATTATTCTATTTTGAAAAGAATATGACATTATGATCAGTACACTATGACTGTGTTGACTGAAGAAAAGCACACAACCTAAAAGTTGTGAGTTATGTTTTATTTAGGGACCTTATTGAGGACTATAGCCCATGAGACAGCCTCTCAGATAGCTCTGAGGAACTGTTCTGAAGAGGTAAGGGAGGAGCCAAGATATATAGGATTTTTGCTGAAAACAATACATGTAGTCTTACATCAAAAGATTACAGCTAATCATAAAAAAATCAGACAACTCAAGTTAATGATTTTAGTGCTTTTCTGTGTATGGGAAGATGCAAGAGTCTAGGCTCATTGAAATTATTCCTTAGGTGTTCATCTTAACTATGTAGGGCCAGTATCCTCTTTTTCTCCATCTTGAATTCCCCTGAGGGCGCACTGTTGGTGGGGGAGGCCGCAGTAGCTGATGGCGCGATGGCAGGCAACATTCTTTGTTTATTGGAATGGCAGGAGACATTCTTTGTCTATAACTATACACTTTAACTTGAGCAAATATACTCAAAACATAAGTAAACTGAGTGAAATTTTAGGGATGTATTCAATTTCAGGGGAAAAAACAGCAATCATATTTCAGGTGTTGGGGAAATAGAATTGAAAACAAAATCTCCCAACCCAGAGACCCTGTCCACAAAGGTAGAAGAGAAAGAAAACAGTTTTATTATTGAATAAGCATTAAACCAGAATGTGATGCAAATTATAGCCAATTCACTAAAGATCTATAAAGACAGAAAGAAATCTCACCAAGCCAATACAATCTGCTACATACATGTTCTCCAGAAAAATAGTCCTTAAGTAAGAGAACTTGACAGCACCATTTATTACACATAGTTTATTACACATAGTTTATTACACATAGTTTATTACATTTAAGAGAACTTGACAGCACCATTTATTACACATAGTTCATTCTATGTGTAACAGAATGTGGCAATTGGGTGATCATCTGGTTATTTAATAACTGGTTTTATACAACAGAAAAATAAACTTCTATCTTGATGATAGGAGGAAGTTTTGTATCTAGAAGGGGAAGAACCACTGTCTTCTTAGATGTTTACATTTCAAAGAGATAGTGCTCAAGCCCTTGAGAAAGATATTTCTGGGTCATTAAGCTGACAAGAGGCTTAGTTTTTTGAAAGATTTACATACATTTCAAAGACATTGAAAAGAACTTACATTTACAGATATTCTAAAGTAAATACTCTAAGAAAAGGAAAGGGGAAGTCTCTTCCCTTATTTTCAATAGAGAGAATTAAGCCTCTTATTCAAAATTTTTATTTGTTCTTACACAGGCCATCTTCATAAAATGATCAATTTTATATTTTAATTAGCTAGCTTTTTTCTCCCATTATAAAATTAAGCCTTGCCTAGGGTATTGCCTGGAGCAATCCCCAAAGCTGGAGGTGGCAACACCCGTGGGGAACCAGGCACTGGACCCACAAGTCCCGGGAAGTCAGGCAAGTCTGGACCTGATTTTTTAGCAGTTCCCAACCACACCTCCCTCATCAGTGTCTCATCTGGACTAAGGATCTGATCCTTAATTTGCACTGATGCTCTTAGAATTGAGTAGCATTTAAACTCAAGGAACCTGTGAAAAATTTTTTTTAAAAAAAGAGGAAAATGGTGGCTGCATACATTAGAAGCTACACATACCTCCTTTCACCAACCAGAAATATCAACACAGAGCCCGTATCTAGAATATTTAGAGAAGACTAAAATCTCGAGACTGGAAAAGAGCGCTCTGGGGCTCATAGAGGAACCAAGATTCAGGTCAGAGCATCAGAACAGAGGGAAGTATAGAGAGGTCTTTAATAGTGGTAGAATGTAGGTAGCATCAACTGGGTTCACCTCCAAAAGGAAAGGTCTCACCTTGATTAGAGAATACTGAGAGATCTGGGATCTGGCAAGTCAGAGCATTTGTGAATGCGAGTTTGAAAGAAAGGATTGGAGAGTTCATGGAATGAGAACTGGCAGTCTTGGGAAGGCATGCAACTGCTTGTAAAGGGGAAGGAGGCATATTGGAAGGTGAAGGAATCCTTGGAGAATGAATGTCAATGGAAAAAGAAAAAAAAATGCTCAGGTCTCAAGAAAACAGTATAATAATTAAAAATTAGAAGACAGAAAAAGGAAAAACTCCACTTATAAAAGAATCTTCCCTTCAATGTAACAAGAGGAAGCCCTTGATCTTAGAAATCTGATGAACCTCACAGAAGCCTCTGTGCCCTCACTGCATAGGATCTCCTGCTATTGCTGTTTTAGGAAAACACAATGCAAAAATAAAAAGGCATGAAAAAAATTAAATTCCAATATCTATTTTAAACTATTCTTTTGTATACATTTTCAGAAATTTTCAGCAATAGGAAGCAAATTCTAAAAATCTAGTCATAAAACAGAGGAACACTAAAATGTTACCGAATTCAGGTTTGGCTGTTCACTGCTTGAAAGCGAATATTGAGAGGCAAGTGTTGGTAGAAAGGAAAAGTTGTTTTAATCAGAAGTCCAGCAATCTGAGGAGAAGGTGGACTCATGTCCCAGAACCAATTCCAAAGATTCTACTTGGCCGTGACAGTTTTTAAAGGGAAAATGGGGAAAGAATCTCAGTGAATCGTTGAGGCAAAATGTTAGGTTCTGTATCATTTTCCATTGCATGCAGAATGCCTGACTCCTCATGATCTTTCTTCAGATGTTTTCTTGCTTGCATTGTCTGCCTGCAGAATTACTAAGGGGGAGTCTGGGGGTAGAAAGCTAGTCACTCTTTAACTACTGAATTCTTCATTCCTACTGCTTTTTTTTTTTTTTTTTGCGGTACGTGGGCCTCTCACTGTTGTGGCCTCTCCTGTTACGGAGCACAGGCTCCAGACGCACAGGCTCATGGGCCCAGCTGCTCTGCAGCATGTGGGATCTTCCCTGACCGGGGCACGAACCCATGTCCCCTGCATCGGCAGGCGGACTCTCAACCACTGCGCCACCAGGGAAGCCCTCATTCCTACTGCTTTTAATCTAGGGAAAGAATCAACAGGTTAGGCAAGGTATTATGTGCATTCATTCGGGCATAAGTCAGGAGTTAAGTTAAATGTTGCCAAGTGATCTCATTTCCATAAGGTTTGAGAGGAACAGAAACAGGCAACAGGAAAGGGGCAAAGGAGCTTCTTACAAATCTCCACTGTCAGACATCATTCTATTTCTCTGGGAATAGGGGTGAAGGTCCATGTTCTGTAACTTCTTCATGTTGACATATGGCACCATATTCTTAGAGTGGAAGATGTTGACATGGGTCTGTAGCATCTCTTTGCTGAAAATTTTAATTTCCTGCTTACATATGCAGGCAGAGCAAGTTATAATTATTTTGATACCCACAAAGATATAAATTATTATGAGCAACAATGTTAATCCCATTCTCCTGAGGCCAGTTCTTGGAATTGTGCTAGCCATAGATGGCTGACATAGGCCAGCCTATGTCATGGGTACATTCTGGTCATCATGAAGTTAGCTTTTTCCCCCTGGTGGCAGTCATAGTTATCTGTAAAACAACTCAGGAATGCGCACCGGACACTGAAAGATTCTGTGACTGTATTCCCTAATCATTAACTGCTTGAACTTGTTCTTTTGTGACCCAGGGAGGCCTGGGAGAGTTCAGCTTTTCTGCAAACAAGAGGCAGGGGACATGGAAGGGCCTTTGTACTTGGGGGAGCCATCTGGGTTCTGCTCAGTTTGAAAAACATAACATTAACACAAACTTAAAGAAACAACTGAAGATATAAAGAGACATCAAAACTATAAACTAAAAAACTCAGGGTAAAAACAGATAAATAATAGGAAGATGTTAAATTGGAATTGAAGAAAACTAAGGAGAGATATTGAAAAAAAAGAAAAATTTTCTTGAAAGTAAAGACCAAATAACAAGGTACCCAACAGAGAATAAATGACTGAAAGTATGGGAAAGGGATTAGAGGGTAGAATTGGAAATATCACCCCCCCAAAAAAATTGCAGACACTTTTAAAAAAGGTAAAGTGGATCAGAGTAGGACATAGTTATAGGAAACAGACAAAAATATTATATATATGTATATATATATATGTGTGTGTATATATATATATATATAATTGCAGTTTCTGGAGAAGAAAAGGCAATGAAATAGAACTAATATTTAAAATTGTAAATCAGATTAAGTTTCCTGTAATAAAAAAAAATTTCAAATCTACACGTTGAAAGGACCTACATGGAAGAATCATTCATGAACAGTCAATTCTGTGGCTTATTTTAGAAAAATGTTAAGCTTGAAAGATAAAGAAATGTTCTGGATGTTGAGGAAAAAGGCAGCTATTAAAAGAGAAAGAAAATCAGGTTAACATTAGGCAAGAGTAGAGTAGCATTTAGATACCTAAGGAAAGAGAATGTGGGCCAAGGTTTTCATAGCTAACTAAATGTAATTCAAGTATTAAAGCTATAGGAACATGAAAGAATTCAGGGAATTAGATAGCCATGAGCCCTTCATAATGAAATCACTGGAGGAGTGTTAAGCAGCAAAAAGATGCCTTGAAAACAAACAAAAAGATTGTAACGCTATTTTTAACTGTAGCTCTAAAACTATAACAAAGTTTGAAAGAAAGGTGGAAGATAAGTGTTACATATTTGACCAAGTAAAAACGTCCAAGTATAAATGACCAAGTAAAAACATGAGCATTAAGAAAGAAAATGGTATTTACTTAAATTGGAAACTACAGAAGAGAAAGAGAACAAGGAAAGAAGAAATTATGAGTTAATTTTATTGCTGCTCACAGGGGACAACCAATAGACACTATCTGAAAGAAAATTGGGAGGATGCTAATGGGATTATATAAAAATATCACTATAAAATATAACCTTTCTGGGCTTCCCTGGTGGCGCAGTGGTTGAGAGTCCACCTGCCGATGCAGGCGACACGGGTTCGTGCCCTGGTCCAGGAAGATCCCACATGCCGCGGAGTGGCTGGGCCCGTGAGCCATGGCCGCTGAGCCTGCGCGTCCGGAGCCTGTGCTCCGCAATGGGAGAGGCCACAACGGTGAGAGGCCCGCGTACCGCAAAAAAACAGAAAACACCTTTCTAACTATCAAAAGAGAAATAAAAAAGCAAAAAGCAAAAAAAAAAAAAAAAAAGAGAGCATCTAAAGAGTTTGCATAGCAAAAGACAGGTGGCTAAAATTAGAATCCAAAAGTGTATTAAAATAATGTTTAATAATAATTCTTATTAACTTGCAATGAAAGCTTTTCAAAATTACAAAATCATTAAAATAGTACATTGTACTAATAGCTCTAAGAGAAATAAAAACATATAGTTTTCTACAAAGAGGCTAAAAAAGCCATTTGATAAACATTCAATAATCATTTCTGATGTGAAAAAAGAAAAATAAATAAACAACTTGCCCAAGCAGTGTCCATATGCAAGCACTACTCCTAGAATCAATATCATGTAATTAAGTGAGTGAATCATTTAACCTCTATTACCTTAGTTTTCTTATCTGTAAAAACTGAGTAATGCAATCTATTGAGTAGCATTGTGATGAGGATCAAATGAAATAATGAATAAATGTATGTCAAAGCACATTTTTTTGAAATGTATAAAGAGTAATAATTATTATTGATATGGAAAAGTAGACACTTCTGTAATCTTTAGTTGGAAGTTAATTTAAATCACAATTGGTTATCTGATAGTTTAAGAAATTCTGTGAATGAGACTTTTCCATTTTTTTCCCTTTATAACAGGTACACCTGGAACGTCAGGTGGTACAACTAGTGTCACAGAGTGTGACAGTGATCTGACAGTTCAGGTGTTCTCCATTACTAAACAAGACTAATGTGGCATTTAAAATCTGATATTCTTATATGGCCAATTTAGAAATCACTGGAATGTTACTTGATACAATCATAGTGGATTTAAGTAAAAAAGTAATAGTGACCATCTTCTGTTTGGTCCTTAAATGTTGTCTTTGAGTTAGGGACTTCTTAGGATGTATTTCCCATGCAGTTATTTCCATTTCTTTATCTAAGATCTGCATTGCACTACACAAAATCACTTCAACAACAAGCAAAAATAAATATGGATTGAAAGTACTAAATAATTATAAAACAATGTTAGTTATTTTTGCATTTTATTGATTGTTAATATAATTTTCCCATTACAGAAATATTTGAGTTCAATAAATTCATTTCTTTCTTGAATAATAGACTGTTGGATATTAAAAGTTATCAAGCATTAACAAGGATATTCAAATTTAAAGTTAGAGTCTTTCATTTTGCAGTCTTTTGCAAAAATCCACTATCTTTAGTATTAGAAAAATTTCACGGTTCATTAATATTAGAAAGTGTTGTAGTTTAAAATATTAATATATTTTCTCATAAGTTCTTTATTGAACAGAAAAGTGATCTAGAACCATGATGAACAGCTTTCCCAATTTCTGAGAGTAATTTAGTAAATAACATTGGCTTCTGAATTGTCTAAAAATTCAGAAAACAATTTGCTCCCTAAAATCTCTACACATTGGTTTAAAAATGTCTTATTTTCTAGAATTTGCAAAGGGGACATGACAATACCTCATTTGCTCAAAGCTCAACCCATACTAAACAATGTTTGTGCTTCATAATACTTAACATGTTTCGAAGAATTAAAGATAGAGACTAAAAACAAACAAATAAATAGGATTGATGAATATTTCTCATGAAATAGGCAAAAAAAAGTGTTTGAGAAATATAATTGGTAGAATAAAATAATACTGTTTTTATACCTTGATTTTTACCCAATATATTGATATGACTTAATGGATAAAAATAAAGATATGAGGCAATCATTAACCATTGTATAATATCATTTGTGAGTCACCTTAATCTGTTTTAGCAAAAATAAAAAATGATGAGCAGAAAAAAGTTCACTAAGTGTAAAATGGACAAAGTGTTGTCACATACATTTACTTACTTGAATTATACAACTGCCCTGAGCAATTGACAGTATATTCAGAATTATTTACATTTTATTTATGAAAAAATTAATGTGTTTACTTCAGTCACAGGATGAGTATGTTGTGAGGCCAAAACAGGGCCTACATTGTTGATTCTTCATCCAGTTATTCACCATTACTACATAGGCCACCAACATGGTGAATTTCTGTCAAAAGTATAGAAAGATCTTGTCAACTTGCCTTTTCTTATTTTCAGCTGTATTCCCAGTACTTAGCTGAATGACTGACTTGATAAGTATCTGGTGGATATCTGGTGAATAAGTAAATAGATGAATAGGAACTCACAGTCTGGTAAAGGATTAAGAGCTTTATTCTTATAAATGAGGTAAAAATAACAGGTTATGTGAAAGAGAACCTTCCAGAAGAACTGGAGATGTGGGAGGGAGTAGGCTACTTGTTGCTATACTCAAGTAGTGGAGCTTTGCATCCACACACGTACACCACTGTGTAGATCCATATCTCTATAAATCCAAGGCCTCCATCCTCATTTGGTCCTTTAGAATTCTTCAGATAAAGATTTGGAGCATTCTGAGTTATGACAGGTTGTTGCAGAATTAAGTCCATTAGGTTAAGCCCAGGAGGAAGTAGAAGCATTTTGTAAAACTGTTAAGCATATAGAATCATTGAATGTGGATTCCAGAGGACAGGGTAAAAGTAATTGTGATAGAGAACAGGCTGTGGAAGAAGTAAGAGTTTAGAATAAAAGAGACAAAGCCCAGCATGACTTTAGAATGCCACAGATGATAGAGGAAACTGAAATGTAAGCTTTACTCAGTGTCAAAGAATGACAGGGTATGAGGTATGGTGGAATTAATTGCTTCAATAACTCAAACAGAATACTAATTCAAAGTTGCATGAATGAGAATAAAGTTAAGTTTTCAGAGGCAATCACAGTGTTAGCTGGTAGATAGCAAACTAGTCTGTAGAAAAATGCAAGAGCATGACTTGGCGGGTGGGAAGTTCCCTTAAATTGAGCTCAGAAAGAAGCTTCTGGTAGTCAGAGACAAGACAGGCCTAGTGGGCATGGTTGCATAATCCATAGGAAGTCAGCTATAAGAAACTTTCAAAGACATTTTAGATTTAGATATCCAAATATATATCCCCAGCCTTGGCTTCTCTGGATCTCTAGACTGAGTAATCTCTAGATTGAGTAATCGATAACTCGACATTTCCACGTTTATGTCTAATAGAAATCGCAGATTTAGCATGAGCTAAACAGAATTCTTGATTTTCTTTCATACTCCCACCTGTTCTATCAGTCTTTCCCATATCAATAAATGGTACCATAACTGACTCGTTTTACTCAGGAAAAAATCTTAAAGTTTTCCTTGATGCCTTTCTTTTAATTTTGCACTTCCCAATACAAACAAGGCCTGTTAATTCTACTTCTAGAACATATCCTGAATCCATCCACTGTTCTCAATCTCCTTTGTCATCACTCTAGCCCTAGGCACTTATATATCATTTGGATTCCTGAATAACCTCATACTGGTCTTCCAACTTCTATTATACACCCTTTACCATACATTCTCTACAGAGTGGAAAGAGGAATTTTTAAATATATGTAAATCTATCATTCCAAGGCATAACATTATATTCCATTGCATTTAGAAAAATGTCCAATTTCCCTCCCCTGATTCACAATAACTTGCCCAATCCTATGTACATGTCCTCACCTTCTAGTGTTCTCCCCCTAACCTCCCATGATCCATATACATTCATCTAGTTCTGCTTCTCTAGCATAAACAGCTCATTTCAGTCTTTTGCACTGTCTGATCCCACTGCCTGTAAGGATATTTCCCCTAGAGTTTCACATAGTTGTCTGCTTCTTGTCAGAGCTCAAAATTAATGACATCTTTTCAGAGAGGCATTTGCTAACCAGGCAGTCTAAAATTAGAACCCCAGATGCTGGATATCACCTCACTTCATCTTAGTGCTTCAATGCATTTCTTGTTTGTGAATTTGTTTGATTGATTGGATAGTAATTTCATTTATGTGTCTTCATGTCTCTCTTATACAACTGGAGTGACAGAGACAACTGGACCATCAACAGAAGAATCAGCAACCACTAAACAATCAAATGAAGTCTCAGGAAAAACAGTACCATTAACTGAAGGATCAAGGACAACTGTGCAATCAATTGGAGTTACAGGGACTACTGGATCATCAACTGAAGAATCAGGGACAACAGTACCATCACCTGGAGTGACAGCGACTACTGAAACATCAACTGGAGGATCAGGAACAACTGGATCATCAATTGGAGTATCAGGGGCTACTGGACCATCAACTGGTGATTCTGGGGCGACTGCATCATTAGCTTTAGGTTCAAAGACAAGTGAACGATCGGTTAGAGGATCAAGAACCACTGAGATATCAGATGCAGTGACAGGAACATATGAACCATCAATGAGAACATCAGGGACAACTGGAAAATCTAGGTCAATTGGACCATCTGTTGTAGGGTCAGAGACAACCACTCCACTATTTGGAGCAACAGGAACTACTATTATTGGAAAAGGAACAAGTTTATGGTCATCTGGAGGATCAGGGATCACTGGATCAACACCTAGAAATTCAATAGAAACTGGACCAAATGTTGTAGGTTCAGAGACAAGTGCACCATTATCTGGAGCAATAGGGACCACTGTTATAAGATCGGGAACAAGATTACCCTCATCTGGAGCATCTTGGACCCCACGACCATCAATTGGAGGATCAGCAACAACAGGACAATCTGGTGTAGGTTCAGAGACAAATGTACCATTATCTAGAGCAACAGGAAACATAGTTACAGAATCAGGAATGGGTTTACCCTTACCTGGAGCATCAGGGAAACCTGGATCATCACCTGGAGGATCAGCAGCAACTGGACCACCTGGTATTGGTCCAGAGACAACTAAACCATTATCTGGAACAATGGGAACTGCAGCTATAACATCAGGAACAAGCTTATCATCAGTTGAGAGATCAGGGACCACTAGATCACTACCTGGAATATCAGGGACAAGTGGACCAACTAGTCTAAGCTCAGAGATATCTGTGCCATTATCTGCAACAACAGGAACTAATGTTATAGGATCAGGAACAGGTTTACCCTCATCTGGAGCATCAGGGACCCCAGGATCATCACCTGCAGGATCAGCAGCAACTGGACCACATGGTGTTGGTTCAGAGACAACGGCACCATTATCTGGAGCAACAGGGACTGCTGCTATAAGATCAGGAACCGGTTTAACATTGGTTTTAAAATCAGCGACCACTAGATCAATACCAGGAAGATCAGGGACAACTCGGCCACCTGCTGTAAGTTCAGAGACAACTGCACCAATATCTGGAACAAGAGGAACTGCAACTATAGGATCAGGTCCCAGTTTACCATCAGTTGAAGGATCAGGGAGCACTAGATCACTACCTGGAGGATCAGGGACAAGTGGACCATCTAGTGTAAGTTCAGAGATAACTGCACCATTATCTGGAGCAAGAGGGACTAGTGTTACAGGATCAGGAACCAGTTTACCAGTATCCGAGCCATGGCCGCTGAGCCTGCGCGTCCGGAGCCTGTGCTCCGCAATGGGAGAGGCCACAACGGTGAGAGGCCCGCGTACCGCAAAAAAACAGAAAACACCTTTCTAACTATCAAAAGAGAAATAAAAAAGCAAAAAGCAAAAAAAAAAAAAAAAAAAGAGAGCATCTAAAGAGTTTGCATAGCAAAAGACAGGTGGCTAAAATTAGAATCCAAAAGTGTATTAAAATAATGTTTAATAATAATTCTTATTAACTTGCAATGAAAGCTTTTCAAAATTACAAAATCATTAAAATAGTACATTGTACTAATAGCTCTAAGAGAAATAAAAACATATAGTTTTCTACAAAGAGGCTAAAAAAGCCATTTGATAAACATTCAATAATCATTTCTGATGTGAAAAAAGAAAAATAAATAAACAACTTGCCCAAGCAGTGTCCATATGCAAGCACTACTCCTAGAATCAATATCATGTAATTAAGTGAGTGAATCATTTAACCTCTATTACCTTAGTTTTCTTATCTGTAAAAACTGAGTAATGCAATCTATTGAGTAGCATTGTGATGAGGATCAAATGAAATAATGAATAAATGTATGTCAAAGCACATTTTTTTGAAATGTATAAAGAGTAATAATTATTATTAATATGGAAAAGTAGACACTTCTGTAATCTTTAGTTGGAAGTTAATTTAAATCACAATTGGTTATCTGATAGTTTAAGAAATTCTGTGAATGAGACTTTTCCATTTTTTTCCCTTTATAACAGGTACACCTGGAACGTCAGGTGGTACAACTAGTGTCACAGAGTGTGACAGTGATCTGACAGTTCAGGTGTTCTCCATTACTAAACAAGACTAATGTGGCATTTAAAATCTGATATTCTTATATGGCCAATTTAGAAATCACTGGAATGTTACTTGACACAATCATAGTGGATTTAAGTAAAAAAGTAATAGTGACCATCTTCTGTTTGGTCCTTAAATGTTGTCTTTGAGTTAGGGACTTCTTAGGATGTATTTCCCATGCAGTTATTTCCATTTCTTTATCTAAGATCTGCATTGCACTACACAAAATCACTTCAACAACAAGCAAAAATAAATATGGATTGAAAGTACTAAATAATTATAAAACAATGTTAGTTATTTTTGCATTTTATTGATTGTTAATATAATTTTCCCATTACAGAAATATTTGAGTTCAATAAATTCATTTCTTTCTTGAATAATAGACTGTTGGATATTAAAAGTTATCAAGCATTAACAAGGATATTCAAATTTAAAGTTAGAGTCTTTCATTTTGCAGTCTTTTGCAAAAATCCACTATCTTTAGTATTAGAAAAATTTCACGGTTCATTAATATTAGAAAGTGTTGTAGTTTAAAATATTAATATATTTTCTCATAAGTTCTTTATTGAACAGAAAAGTGATCTAGAACCATGATGAACAGCTTTCCCAATTTCTGAGAGTAATTTAGTAAATAACATTGGCTTCTGAATTGTCTAAAAATTCAGAAAACAATTTGCTCCCTAAAATCTCTACACATTGGTTTAAAAATGTCTTATTTTCTAGAATTTGCAAAGGGGACATGACAATACCTCATTTGCTCAAAGCTCAACCCATACTAAACAATGTTTGTGCTTCATAATACTTAACATGTTTCGAAGAATTAAAGATAGAGACTAAAAACAAACAAATAAATAGGATTGATGAATATTTCTCATGAAATAGGCAAAAAAAAGTGTTTGAGAAATATAATTGGTAGAATAAAATAATACTGTTTTTATACCTTGATTTTTACCCAATATATTGATATGACTTAATGGATAAAAATAAAGATATGAGGCAATCATTAACCATTGTATAATATCATTTGTGAGTCACCTTAATCTGTTTTAGCAAAAATAAAAAATGATGAGCAGAAAAAAGTTCACTAAGTGTAAAATGGACAAAGTGTTGTCACATACATTTACTTACTTGAATTATACAACTGCCCTGAGCAATTGACAGTATATTCAGAATTATTTACATTTTATTTATGAAAAAATTAATGTGTTTACTTCAGTCACAGGATGAGTATGTTGTGAGGCCAAAACAGGGCCTACATTGTTGATTCTTCATCCAGTTATTCACCATTACTACATAGGCCACCAACATGGTGAATTTCTGTCAAAAGTATAGAAAGATCTTGTCAACTTGCCTTTTCTTATTTTCAGCTGTATTCCCAGTACTTAGCTGAATGACTGACTTGATAAGTATCTGGTGGATATCTGGTGAATAAGTAAATAGATGAATAGGAACTCACAGTCTGGTAAAGGATTAAGAGCTTTATTCTTATAAATGAGGTAAAAATAACAGGTTATGTGAAAGAGAACCTTCCAGAAGAACTGGAGATGTGGGAGGGAGTAGGCTACTTGTTGCTATACTCAAGTAGTGGAGCTTTGCATCCACACACGTACACCACTGTGTAGATCCATATCTCTATAAATCCAAGGCCTCCATCCTCATTTGGTCCTTTAGAATTCTTCAGATAAAGATTTGGAGCATTCTGAGTTATGACAGGTTGTTGCAGAATTAAGTCCATTAGGTTAAGCCCAGGAGGAAGTAGAAGCATTTTGTAAAACTGTTAAGCATATAGAATCATTGAATGTGGATTCCAGAGGACAGGGTAAAAGTAATTGTGATAGAGAACAGGCTGTGGAAGAAGTAAGAGTTTAGAATAAAAGAGACAAAGCCCAGCATGACTTTAGAATGCCACAGATGATAGAGGAAACTGAAATGTAAGCTTTACTCAGTGTCAAAGAATGACAGGGTATGAGGTATGGTGGAATTAATTGCTTCAATAACTCAAACAGAATACTAATTCAAAGTTGCATGAATGAGAATAAAGTTAAGTTTTCAGAGGCAATCACAGTGTTAGCTGGTAGATAGCAAACTAGTCTGTAGAAAAATGCAAGAGCATGACTTGGCGGGTGGGAAGTTCCCTTAAATTGAGCTCAGAAAGAAGCTTCTGGTAGTCAGAGACAAGACAGGCCTAGTGGGCATGGTTGCATAATCCATAGGAAGTCAGCTATAAGAAACTTTCAAAGACATTTTAGATTTAGATATCCAAATATATATCCCCAGCCTTGGCTTCTCTGGATCTCTAGACTGAGTAATCTCTAGATTGAGTAATCGATAACTCGACATTTCCACGTTTATGTCTAATAGAAATCGCAGATTTAGCATGAGCTAAACAGAATTCTTGATTTTCTTTCATACTCCCACCTGTTCTATCAGTCTTTCCCATATCAATAAATGGTACCATAACTGACTCGTTTTACTCAGGAAAAAATCTTAAAGTTTTCCTTGATGCCTTTCTTTTAATTTTGCACTTCCCAATACAAACAAGGCCTGTTAATTCTACTTCTAGAACATATCCTGAATCCATCCACTGTTCTCAATCTCCTTTGTCATCACTCTAGCCCTAGGCACTTATATATCATTTGGATTCCTGAATAACCTCATACTGGTCTTCCAACTTCTATTATACACCCTTTACCATACATTCTCTACAGAGTGGAAAGAGGAATTTTTAAATATATGTAAATCTATCATTCCAAGGCATAACATTATATTCCATTGCATTTAGAAAAATGTCCAATTTCCCTCCCCTGATTCACAATAACTTGCCCAATCCTATGTACATGTCCTCACCTTCTAGTGTTCTCCCCCTAACCTCCCATGATCCATATACATTCATCTAGTTCTGCTTCTCTAGCATAAACAGCTCATTTCAGTCTTTTGCACTGTCTGATCCCACTGCCTGTAAGGATATTTCCCCTAGAGTTTCACATAGTTGTCTGCTTCTTGTCAGAGCTCAAAATTAATGACATCTTTTCAGAGAGGCATTTGCTAACCAGGCAGTCTAAAATTAGAACCCCAGATGCTGGATATCACCTCACTTCATCTTAGTGCTTCAATGCATTTCTTGTTTGTGAATTTGTTTGATTGATTGGATAGTAATTTCATTTATGTGTCTTCATGTCTCTCTTATACAACTGGAGTGACAGAGACAACTGGACCATCAACAGAAGAATCAGCAACCACTAAACAATCAAATGAAGTCTCAGGAAAAACAGTACCATTAACTGAAGGATCAAGGACAACTGTGCAATCAATTGGAGTTACAGGGACTACTGGATCATCAACTGAAGAATCAGGGACAACAGTACCATCACCTGGAGTGACAGCGACTACTGAAACATCAACTGGAGGATCAGGAACAACTGGATCATCAATTGGAGTATCAGGGGCTACTGGACCATCAACTGGTGATTCTGGGGCGACTGCATCATTAGCTTTAGGTTCAAAGACAAGTGAACGATCGGTTAGAGGATCAAGAACCACTGAGATATCAGATGCAGTGACAGGAACATATGAACCATCAATGAGAACATCAGGGACAACTGGAAAATCTAGGTCAATTGGACCATCTGTTGTAGGGTCAGAGACAACCACTCCACTATTTGGAGCAACAGGAACTACTATTATTGGAAAAGGAACAAGTTTATGGTCATCTGGAGGATCAGGGATCACTGGATCAACACCTAGAAATTCAATAGAAACTGGACCAAATGTTGTAGGTTCAGAGACAAGTGCACCATTATCTGGAGCAATAGGGACCACTGTTATAAGATCGGGAACAAGATTACCCTCATCTGGAGCATCTTGGACCCCACGACCATCAATTGGAGGATCAGCAACAACAGGACAATCTGGTGTAGGTTCAGAGACAAATGTACCATTATCTAGAGCAACAGGAAACATAGTTACAGAATCAGGAATGGGTTTACCCTTACCTGGAGCATCAGGGAAACCTGGATCATCACCTGGAGGATCAGCAGCAACTGGACCACCTGGTATTGGTCCAGAGACAACTAAACCATTATCTGGAACAATGGGAACTGCAGCTATAACATCAGGAACAAGCTTATCATCAGTTGAGAGATCAGGGACCACTAGATCACTACCTGGAATATCAGGGACAAGTGGAACAACTAGTCTAAGCTCAGAGATATCTGTGCCATTATCTGCAACAACAGGAACTAATGTTATAGGATCAGGAACAGGTTTACCCTCATCTGGAGCATCAGGGACCCCAGGATCATCACCTGCAGGATCAGCAGCAACTGGACCACATGGTGTTGGTTCAGAGACAACGGCACCATTATCTGGAGCAACAGGGACTGCTGCTATAAGATCAGGAACCGGTTTAACATTGGTTTTAAAATCAGCGACCACTAGATCAATACCAGGAAGATCAGGGACAACTCGGCCACCTGCTGTAAGTTCAGAGACAACTGCACCAATATCTGGAACAAGAGGAACTGCAACTATAGGATCAGGTCCCAGTTTACCATCAGTTGAAGGATCAGGGAGCACTAGATCACTACCTGGAGGATCAGGGACAAGTGGACCATCTAGTGTAAGTTCAGAGATAACTGCACCATTATCTGGAGCAAGAGGGACTAGTGTTACAGGATCAGGAACCAGTTTACCAGTATCCAGAGCATCAGGGACCCTTCGATCATCAACTGGAGGATCAGCAGCAACTTCATCACCTGGTGTTGGTTTTGAGACAACAGCAACACTATCTGGAGCAACAGGGACTGCTGCTATGGGAGCAGGAACAAGTTTACTCTCAGCTGAAGAAACAGGGACCACTAGATCAATTCCTCAAGAATCAGGGACAACTGCACTACCTCGTGTAGGTTCACAGACAACTGCAGCATTATCTGGAAAAACAATAACTGCAGCTATAGGATCAGCAACCAGTTTACCATCAGTTGAGGGATCAGGGATCACTAGATCACTACCTGGAGGATCAGGGACAAGTGGACCACCTAGTGTAAGTTCAGAGATAACTGCATCATTATCTGGAGCAACAGGGACTAGTGTTACAGGATCAGGAACCAGTTTATCAGTATCTAGAGCATCAGGGACCCTTCGATCATCAACTGGAGGATCAGCAGCAACTTCATCACCTGGTGTTGGTTTGGAGACAACAGCAACACTATCTGGAGCAACAGGGACTGCTGCTATGGGAGCAGGAACAAGTTTACTCTCAGCTGAAGAAACAGAGACCACTAGATCAATTCCTCAAGAATCAGGGACAACTGCACTACCTCGTGTAGGTTTACGGACAACTGCAGCATTATCTGGAAAAACAATAACTGCAGCTATAGGATCAGCAACCAGTTTACCATCAGTTGAGGGATCAGGGATCACTAGATCACTACCTGTAGGATCAGAGAGAAGTGGACCAACTGGAGTAAGTTCAGAGATAACTGTGCCATTATCTGGAACAATAGGGACTAATGTTCTAGGATCAGAAACCAGTTTAACCTCATCCAGAACATCAGGGACATGTGGATTGTCAACTGGAGGATCAGCAGCAAGTGAACCACCTGGTATTGGTTTGCAGACAACAGCACCATTTTCTGGAGCAACAGAGACTGCTCCTATAGGATCAGGAACCAGTTTATCCTCATCTGGAACATCAGAGACACCTGGATCATCTATTGGAGGATCAGCAACTGGATCACCTGGTATTGTTTCAGACACAACTGCCCTATTATCTGGAACAGCAGGGGCTGCTGCTATAGAATTAGGAACCAGTTTACCTTCATCTGGAGTATCAGAAACCCCTGGATCATCACCTGGAGGGTCATCAGCTGCTGGACCACCTGGTCTTGGTTCAGAGACAACTGCATCATTATCTGGAGAAACAAGAATTGCCACTATAAGACCAGGAACCAGTTTACACTCATCTGGAACGTCAGGGACACCTTTATCATCTCCTGGAGGATCAGCAACAAGTGGACCACCTGGTATTGGTTCAGAGACCACTGAACCATTATCTGGAGCAACAGGAGCTGCAACTATAGGATCAGGAACCAGTTTACCATCAGTTGAGGGATCAGGGACCATTAGATCACTACTTAGAGGATCACAGACAAATGGACAACCTGGCGTAAGTTCAGACATAAATGTGTCATTGTCTGGAACAACAGGGTCTAATGTTATAGAATCAGGAAGCAGTTTACCCTCATCTGGAGCATCAGTGAACCCTGGATCATCACCTGGAGGAGCATCAGCAACTGGACCACCTGGTGTTGTTTCAGAGACAATGGCACCATTTTCTGGAGCATCGGAGACCACTGCTTTAGGATCAGGAACCAGTTTACCCTCATCTGGAGCATCAGGGACCACTGGACCATCACCTGGAAGATCAGCAGTAACTGGATCACATGTTATTGTTTTGGAGACAAATGCGGTATTATCTGGAGCAACAGGAACTGCAGTTATAGGTTCAGGAACCAGTTTACCGTCAGTTGAGGGATCAGGGACCACTAGATCACTACCTGGAGGATCAGGGACAAGTGGACTGACTGGTTTAAGTTCACAGATAACTCAGCAATTATCTGGAACAACAGGGAGTAATGTTATAAGATCAGGAACTAGTTTACCCTCATCTGGAGCATCAGGGAACCCTGAAATATCACCTGAAAGATCAGCAGCAACTGGACCACCTGTTGTAGGTTCAGAGACATTTGGACCAGTATCTGGAGCAATAGGCACCACTCTTACAGGATCTGGAGACAGTTTAACATCATTTGAAAGAACAGCCTCTACTAGATCAATTCCTGGAGGATCAGGGAGAACTAGACTATCAGTTGTAGGTTCAGAGACAACTGTGTCTCTATTTGAAGCAACAGGGACCACTATTATTGCATCAAGAGCCAGCTTGCCATCAGCTGAAAGATTTGCCACCAGTAGTTCAATACATGCAGGGTCAGGGACAAGTGGACCATATATTGTAGGTTCAGACACAAGTGCACCATTATCTAGAGCAACAGGGACCACTGCTATAGGATCAGGAACTGGTTTACCATCAGTTGAAGGATCAGGGACCACTAGATCAGTACCTGGAGGATCAAGGACAAGTGGACCACGTGGTGTAAGTTCAAAGACAATTGCATCTTTATCTGGAGCAACAGGGACTAATGTTATAGAATCAGGAACTAGTTTACCCTCATCTGGAGCATCAGGGACCCCTAGATCATTGCCTGGAGAATCAGCAGCACCTGAACCACCTGGTGTAGGTTCAGAGACAACTGCACCATTATCTGTAAGAACAAAGACTACTATTTATGGATTAGGGACCATTTTACCCTCGTCAGTAACATCGGCGAACCCTGGATCATTGCCTGGTGGATCACCAACCCCTGGATCACCTGGTTCAAGTTCAGAGGCAACTGCACCATCATCTGGAGCAAGAGCAACCACTGTTATAGGGTTAGTAACAAGTTTACCATTAGTTGAAGGGTCAGTGACCACTAGATCAATATTTGGAGGATCAGAGACAAATGGACCATCTGTTGTAGGTTCAGAGACAACTGCACCATTATCTGGAGCTACAGGGACAACTGTTATTGTGTCAAGAACCAGTTTGTCATCAGTTGAAGCATCAGCCACCACTAGTTCAACACCTGGAGAGTCAGGGACAAGTCAACCATATGTTGTAGGTTCAGAGACAAGTGCACCATTATCTGCAACAGCAGGTACCACTCTTATAGGATCAGGAACCAGTGTACCCTCATCTGGAGCATCAGGGACTCCTGGATCATTGCCTGTAGGATCAGCACTAACTGGACCACCTGGTGTAAGTTCAGAGACAACTGCACCATTATCTGGAGCAAAAAGGACCACGGTTATAGGAAGAGGAACTAGTTTACCATCAGTTGAAGGATCAGTCACCACTAGATCAATACCTGGAGGATCAGGAACAGCTGGGTCATCTTTTGTAGGTTCAGAGACAACTACACCATTATCTGGAGAAATAGGGACGACTGTTATGGGATCAGGGACAAGTTTACAATCAGTTGTAGGATCAGGGATAACTGGATCCACAGTTGTACTGTTAGGAACAACTAGAATCTCTATTGTAAGTTCAGAGACAATTGGATCATTATCTGGACCATCAGAAACAACTGGAACATCAATTGAAAGATCAGGAACAACTAGTTCATTATCTGGAGTGACAGGAACCAATAGAATCTCTGTTGTAAATTCAGGTATAACTACACTATCATCTAGAGCAACACTGACCCCTGAATCATCGCCTGGAGGATCTATATCAACTGAATCACCTGATGTAGGTTTAGGGACAACTGGATCATTAGCTGAAGCATCACCGACAACTGAAACATCAGCTGAAGAATCAGGCAAAACTGGAACGTTTTTTGCAGGTACCAGGACAAATGGATTATCAGCTGGAAGTTCAGGGACAACTCGATCATCTATTATAGGATCAGGAACAACAGGACCAGCAGTTGAAGTATCAGGGACAGCTGGACCATCATCTGGAGGATCAAGGACAACTAGAACATCAATTAAAGGATTTGGAACAACTGGTTCATTAGCTGGAGTTACAGGAACAACTATAACCTATGCTGAAATTTCAGGGACAGCTGAACCATTATCTGGGGTGACTAGGACTCCTGTATTATCACCAGGAGGATCAGCATCAACTGGAACAAGTGTTGTAGGGTCAGGGACAATGGGATCATCAGGTGGAGATTTATGGAGAACTGGACCATCAACTGGGAAAACAGGAACCACTGGATCATCACCTGGAGAATCAGTGTCAGGTGGTATTTCTGCTGTAGGTTCAGGGACAACTGTAACATCACCTGGAGTCACAAGGACAGTGGGAGTTTCAGAGACCACTCGATCATCTGTTATAGGATCTGAGACAACCAGACCTGCAGTTGAAGGATCAGGGACAACTGGATCAACAGCTGGACTGACTATAACCACTAGGACATCTGTTGTAGTTTCAGGGACAACTGGACCATCATCTGAAGAGACAAGGACAACAATAACATCTGGTGTAGTTTCAGGGACAATAGGACCACCATCTGGAGAAACAGAGACCACTGTTATAGGATCAGGAGCAAGTGGATCATCAGCTGAAGGATCACAGACAAGTGGATCAACACCTGGAATGACAAGAACCACTGGAACATTCATTGTAGGTTCAGAGACAACTGCACCGTTATCTGGAGCATCAGGGACAACTGGATCATCACTTGGCCTGACTGCCACAACTAGCTTCTCTGTCGTAGGCTCAGGGACAATGGAACCATCAACTAGAGAATCATGGACAACCAGCCCAGGAGATGTAACTTCATCAACCATTGTATTGTCAGCTGGTCCTTCAGGAACAACTAGACCTGGAGTAACAGGGACAAGTAGACCATCTGTTGTAGGTTCAGAGACAGCTAGTCCATCATCTGGAGAAACAGGGATCACTATTATAGGATCAGGGTCAAGTGGATCATCAGCTGAAGGATCAGAGACAACTGGATCAACAGCTGGACTGACTATAACTACTAGGACATCTGTTGTAGGTTCAGGGACAACTGGACCATCATCTGGAGTGACAGGGACAAAAATAATATCTGGTGTAGGTTCAGGGAAAACTGGGCCACCACCTGGAGAAAGAGGGACCACTGTTATTGAATCAAGAGCAAGGGGATCATCAGCTGAAGCATCACGGACAACTGGATCAGCAGGTGGACTAACAATAACCACTAGAACATCTGGTATAGGTTCAGGGGCAAGTGCACTATCATCTGGAGTGACAAGGACAACAATAACATCCAGTGTAGGTTTAGGGGCAACTGGATCATCATCTGGAGAAACAGGGACCACTGTTGTTGAATCAGGAACAAGTGGACCCTCAGGTGAAGGATCAGGGACAACTGCATCACCAGACGGATTGACAAGAACCACTAAAATCTCTGTTGTAAGTTTAGGGACTCCTGGACCATCAATTGGAGTGATGTGGAAAACACAAACATCTATTGTAGGTTCAGGGACAACTGGATCATCAACTGGAGTATTAGAGACAATTGATACATCAGCTGAAGGATCGAAGACAACTAGACCATCAACTGGAAGATCATGGACAACTGGGACACCAATTGAAGGATCTGGAACAACTGGATCATCAACTTTTACAACCACAGGGGCCAGGAGGACAACTTGGGGGCCAGGAAGTGAGGTTACCACATATGAAGGTAAGTCAAGTTAGCTATATTTAGACAATAATATAAATAATTTTAATTTAATAGAGATCTAATTTTGAACTATATTACTTTATCAGAATTATACTATTTAGAACTCAAAGATGGGAACTTTGTAGAATATTATTGTTTTAAATTGATTCCTCAGACCCCTTAAGAAGGTTATGTTTTCATCCCTATTACTTCTTTTGTGACCAGGTGAAATCAGTAGATCAGTAGGAGCTACCAGAGGTGCTGGTAGTGGAGGCCCAGTTGGAGCATCAAGCTTTGGAGTCACTTCTGCTGGGAGCCAAGCAGGCAAGACTCACCAGGGTGCTCTTTTGGTGGTCCAATATGAGCATGCCTTATGCCCAAATTACAATAATGATTTAAGTTAATTTAAGCAAGGACCACATTTTTTGAGAAATCATTAAGAGGTGTTCTAGGTTTATTATTAACATCTAAATTTGAAATTTACTTAAATGGCAGTAAGTTTATAATTTTTACAAAATGAACCATGTGAAGATAATAGTCAGTTATCCTTTTAACCAGACACAACTAAAGAACCATATGGAGAAACTACTGAAGTGGGTGAAAGCATGACCAGATCAACTACACCCAGAAAATCAGGCGAGTGGGAAGGGAAGCTATTGGCCCCAGTTACAACCCAACATAAGGTTTTTTGATAAATCTGATAAATATCCATTATTGGATATTAGTGTATTATAAGTTTAGAAATCAGAAAATCTGATCCAAATTATCTGGTATTGAGGACCTTGGATATTTTGTTAGGTGTTTTCAGACCAGTACTGCAACTGCAACATCTGGACTCAAAGTAGTTAAATTGTTGAATGTCCAGGTAGTGTCGCAATAAAATAAGAACATTGCTCATGACTTTCTACTTTTAATCTCACATTCCATAGGAGCCACCCCTGGCTCAACAATTGCAACAGAAAGATCCACTACTACTGGTAAGTAAGCAGGAGATGTGAGATGCATTTTTTGACTTGTTTTCACGCTCACTGGCTAATTAAAAATGGCAAAATAATTAATAATAATTCCAGTTAAATAATACAATGCCCTAAAATCTATTATGCTATTTAACTATTTAAATAAGTATTGTTATCTCATTTTACTCATGAAGAACTTAGAAAAGATATTACATAAGTTGGTCCAGGTTCTACAGCAAAACAAATAGTGGAGACAATATATATTTTTTAACATCTTTATTGGAGTATAATTGCTTTACAATGGTGTGTTAGCTTCTGCTTTATAACAAAGTGAACCAGCTATACATATACATATATCCTCATATCTCCTTCCTCTTGCATCTCCCTCCCACCCTCCTTATCCCACCCCTTTATGTGGTCACAAAGCACCGAGCTGATCTCCCTGTGCTATGTGGCTGCTTCCCACTAGCTAGCTATTTTACATTTGGTAGTGTATATATGTCAATGCTACTCCCTCACTTCGTCCCAGCTTACCGTTCCCCCTCCCTGTGTCCTCAAGTCCATTCTCTACTTCTGTGTCTTTATTCTGTCCTGCCCCTAGGTTCTTCAGAACTTTTTTTTTTTTTTAGATTCCATGTACATGTGTTAGCATATGGTATTTGTTTTTCTCTTTCTGACTTACTTCATTCTGTATGACAGACTCTATTTCCATCCACCTCACTACAAATAACTCAATTTTGTTTCTTTTTATGGCTGAGTAATATTCCATTGTATATATGTGCCACATCTTCTTTATCCATTCATCTGTTGATGGACACTTAGGTTGCTTCCATGTCCTGGCTATTGTAAATAGAGCTGCAATGAACATTGTGGTACATGACTCTTTTTGAATTATGGTTTTCTCAGGGTATATGTCCAGTAGTGGGATTGCTGGGTCATATGGTAGTTCTATTTTTAGTTTTTTTAGTTTTTTTTTTTTTTTGCAGTACGCGGGCCTCTCACTGCTGTGGCCTCTCCCGTTGTGGAGCCCAGGCTCCAGACACGCAGGCTCAGCAGCCATGGCCCACAGGCGCAGCCGCTCTGCGGCATGCAGGACCCTCCCAGACCGGGGCACGAACCCGTGTCCCCTGCATCGGCAGGCAGACTCCCAACCACTGCGCCACGAGGGAAGCCCAATTTTTAGTTTTTTAAGGAACCTCCATACTGTTCCCCATAGTGGCTGTATCAATTTACATGTGGAGACAATATTTTTATCCATTGTTTACTGACTCCACAGTGTGCTCTTTACCACAAAGGCATCCTTCACTAAGGAAATATATAATGATCCTTAGTGACCCATTAATAAAAGCTTGCATTTAATATTTACATAGATTAAATTTTCCCCATTTCTAACTATAAAAACTACAGCAGCAGATAATAAAAAGAAGTATAACATTTTTAATATGTTGAGAAACTTTGGCATTTTGCCATTCTGAAATCACAAGATTTGAGGCATTTATGAAAACTATAATACTATTGTTTTGCAAATCAAAATTTTATCTCTTTATTTCTTTTTACAGTTATTACAACATGACATAAAATTCACAAATACTTATAAGACAATTTTTTCTTAACAATAAATGGACTATTTATTCAAGCCTATAATATATTATCAAGTTTCTAGACTAGTAACATTGGGTCGGCCAAAAAGTTCATTTGGGTTTTTCTGTAGCATCATATATGGAAAAACCCGAATGAACTTTTTGGCCAACCCAATATACTCATATCGAGTATATTGGGAAAAACTTCATTTCTCAGTTTGCAGGTTATCTAATAGAACCTAGGTTTTAGTGAATAAATTGTCCAATATTTAAAGAATAGATTGCTTATTCTTTCTTTTTCTGGTAAAGATTTATCCTATGTTTATTCTAACTAGTCTTACAAGCTCCCCTTATGTAAAATTATTTTACAAACTAATCACTAGAAAATAATTAATTTGATAATTTGATTCAGACTAAATGTATAATATTATCTGTTCAATCTATGGTTATGCTAACCTAAATGAATTGCCATGCTTGATATTATATATTGAACATAATAATTATAACTTAATTCCATAGTTACTAATATGTGACTCCTGGGCACCGTATGTATTTTATCTTTTTTTTTTTTTTGCATTTTCCAAGTTCAAGACTTTAGTCTTTAAATGGAACCAAAGAAGAATTACATATGTGTAAACATTTTATTTGGGAAAAGGGCAATGCCTTTGTTTTTAGTTTGATAATTTGTAACTCATAGATGATTTCTTAAAAGAGCACTTTACAGTTTATCTCCCAAGAGATCTCTCACCCTGAATAGAATTTCTAAGATGAGCCTTTGTGGAAATAACATATTTCTGTTTTTTAATAAAAAAATTTATATATCATGGCATTTGAAGCATCGTGGTGAATTTTTTTTTTTTTTTTTGGTACACGGGCCTCTCACTGTTGTGGCCTCTCCTGTTGCGGAGCACAGGCTCCGGACGCACAGGCTCAGTGGCCATGGCTCATGAGTCCAGCCGCTCCACGGCATGTGGGGTCTTCCCGGACTGGGACACGAACCCATGTCCCCTGCATCAGCAGGCGGACTCTCAACCACTGCGCCACCAGAGAAGTCCCATTGTGGTGAATTTTAAAAATAAAATTCAAATATATTATTTAATTGAAACATGAATTTAATTTTTCTTTATTAGGCTCAGATAATACAATTCCACCTGAACCTGTTGTAGGTAAGTTGATATTAAAATGACAAAATTATGCTTTTTCACAATGTGCCTTGAAATAATATTTCTAATTTTTCTACTTGAACACTGAAAAATATCTAAGGGACTGTTATATTCTTCTCAAATTTTAACCTAATACAAATTAATCTGTATGAATTCAGATAAATAAAAATGTACATTTATAGATATATTTGTATTTTTAAATTTAGTGCCATTTAAGCAGCCTGAAGTAACAGATGAAAAAATGTCACATTATAAATGTGGATTTGAAAAAAATAGTGTTACAGTAACTAGAATCAAAAATATGATAGCAGAAGTCTTAATTTATCAGATTAATAAAACATAAACTTCAAATTAGATTTTGGTAGCATAGGGCTCTTGCTTTTTCTATTTTTATACCTTCTTAAATCATACCAAAGACATTGAATCTCATATATAATCGTTAAATTCTGCACTGGTTGTGTACAAACTTACAGAATCAATCAAATAAACAAAAATGACTCTAGAAATACACTCTTTATTAAATAAAAAGGCAGTTCCATATTTCTCAGCATATTATTTGTCACCTATCATTTCCATTAAATTTTTTAGCTTTTATTGCATCCCGGTGTCTCTTTTAAATTTAACAGTTTTAAAAGATATGCAAAAGAAATTTATTTTTTAGAATGTTCCACTTTTTCTTAATTGTTCCCCCTCTGCATTCTTTTAGCGTTTACATTTGAGTATAACCTCCATGAGGACAGACACTTTTTTCTTATTTTGTTCACTGATATAAAATCCCTTTCTGGTCCTTATCTGATAAGGTGTTTGATTTTGATACTTGCCCACCTGATCCACTAGATTCTACCTTTGTGGAATGGGGACCATTCAATATGCATCACTCTGTTGTCACTCATTACCTACTACCAGAAACCTGAGAGATCCTTTAAGACAGGCATTTCCAACACAGGTATGGCTGAAATAATAATAACAACACCGCTATAGGCACTCAGGACATGAAGCTTTTTGTAGGGCTGCTGTGAAAAAATAATACTAAATGCCTCTTCCCCATATCCCAAATGCCCAGAATTTACTGTTCTCCTATTTTCTACCTCAGAGGCTACAACTTCCAGAGAAGGTACTGGTACTGCTGGAATTGGATTCCAGACAGGTGAGAAGGAGCAGCTTCTGTCTTGCTATTACCACTAATTATGACACAGGAGATCCTAGAGAGAATTTCTGGAGAACAGTTCATATTTACTCTACCAATCCTGCATTTTAGGCAAATTAATTATTTTTCAGTTTTGAATTTTTCTTCTGAAAATTTGCTATAACAGTCTAGAGTCGTAGCTGTAATCCTGAAGTTGGGATTGTAGTAATTGTTATGAATAACTTCTCCTGTGGATTTACATATATCATAAGCTTTGACAAGGGAAGAGTGAGAAAACTTTGTATTCCTGAGAAACTGAGAAGAGTTACAGGAACCTAGGAAACATGTCTGTCCCACGTAGATGTATGCTTTTCACAAGGAAGTGATGAAGAGCACAGTATTTTCCCAGTGTCTCAAGTTCTCAGCACACTCATGGCTTCTGTTTCGAAACCAGTGTAGCATCAGAAAGCCAAGTCATAGGGAGTAAGACAGGAAAGGGTGGGAGAAACCCACCCTGTTTCCTCGATGTAGAATGCCAGGAAGTGTATCTCTGGTTGAGAACATTGTCACTATTATTGCTTTGGTAATAAAATGGTTAATGAAAAACTACACAGAGCTCATCAACAGAGAAGAGTCAGTGAGCAGTCCAGTTAGATACTATGAAGATATACCTAGGTTATTTCTAGAAGCATGCTTTTAGGAAAGAAACATGAGCACCATGGTGACTACATTTCATTTTGTGTTTCAGGCACCACTGAGGTAGCCCCTGGCACAACTGTTGCCCCTGGCAATTTCAACACAGGTGAGTCAACAAGGTGACATATAATCTTCCATAGTCCTCCCACAAATTAGATGTCTCCTCTGTTACTATCTTTTGCAGACCTCCTGCCATATCCTTTCCATGATCCTTAAATATTCTCCAGTTAACTCTTTCCTCCTTCTCACCCACAGAAGGAGAAAGTGAAACAACCAGAGTTGGAATAGCCAAAGGTGAGCCCTGCTAAGCTAATACCTGAACTTTATGATAACTTCACAAAAACAATCTTATGAAAATATATCTGCACTGTTTATGTATGTTATATTGAGAAAATTCAGAAAAACAAGACAAGACAGTTTCCTTATTTCCTGAGCTTATAAGAGCCTTCACTAGACTATTGTGAAGTCAAACTAGGGATAGATAAACTGGTAATGTAGAAAGAAATTTCCTATCTCCCCTCCAAAAAAAGGGACCTGATAGTTGAGCACTTTCTCAGTAAAATTGTAGAAAGACATGTTACAAGGGGCGTATATGGACCACTTACTGGTACTAAAAGTCTCAGGGTTATAGCTTGCTACTGCACGGAGACTTTAGATTCCTATTTAAATCACGTGGTGAACAGCAATTGAGCTAGTGACCACTGACCCTTTCTTGTTTTAGGTACTACAGGTAGAGTCTCTGGAAAAACTCTGGAACCTGGAAGTTACAACACAGGTATCTGGACAGTGGCACCTTGGGTGATATATTCTGACAAAAGCACAGTGTGTACTTTCCCACACCCTAGTCTTTACTCCTTTCTTTCTTTTCTCTGTCAGAGGTCACCACTTCCACGAGAAGAAGTGGGACCACCCAACCAGAACTTCCAGGAGGTGAGCTCTTTTAATCTGAGGCTTTGGGACTTTCATCAAATCTCTGTTTGTGAATACAGTGAACACATTAGTGTGAAAGTGGGCAAAGGAAAGGGGCCTGAATTTCCTCTGGGAACACAATATGCCAGAGTCACAAACCTGAGTCTGCCTAAGAATTCCATGACCTCAGATGTCTCCATCTGGATTTCCAGAGGCCTGGGCTTGCAGAGCTAGTTGTTGAATGGCATGAATGAGGGTGACTGCTAGCCAGCCCCTGCCTACCAAGTCCCCTATCCTTTTATATGGTTTGCCATGTTCTCATAACACTTACTAACATCTATCACATCGACCTATTTATTATGTTTATTGTTCACTGTTGGTCTCCAGTTGCTAGAATGTAACTTGCATTAGGGGAGGGATCTTTGAATATTCTGCTTGCTGATATATGCAAGGGCCTAAAACAATATTGCACAGAAGAGATGCTTAATACATACTAGTGGAATGATGAAATGTATACTTATTTTGAGGCTTCACTCTATTTGCTTTAATAGGTATCACCATGGTTTTACCTGGAGCCAGCAGCAGTTCACAGAGTTCCATGTCAGGTAAGATGGACTAAATAAGTTAACCTTATCAGAGTATTAGAGTCAAGGAGATCTTTTTTAAATATCTGAATATCAAATTAGCTCAAGTAATTGATGAGTAAAAGTTAGAAAGACAAACCCATCATCTGCCTTTTTCCTCCTTCAGGCAGCTCTGTCACCATTCTAGGGAGCCCAGGGTCTGGAAGTGAAACAGGTGAGGGTGACATAAGGTCTCCATTCACTTTCAGTGACTCTATGGAAAGGGAACTCTAATAACAATAATGATCAATAGGTGGGTCAGGAAAGGAAACTGTGGGAGTAATTGATGGTTCATTTACTACAGAATCAAAGATCTGCAGGAAAGGTCTCCAGTGATTCAAGGCTGCATAGCTACTTCAGTATTCACTGGGGAGTTAATGCTGTGTTGATCCCTTTATTTTTCTCACTTTAGGTACTTCAGGAGAATTCCCTAAGACAACCATATCTGGAAGTTCCCACACAGGTAGGTTAACAAGAAGGAAATCTTGCTATTTAACCTCATAATGTAGTTAGTAGACCTGTTCTGATAAAATATCAGCATCATTCTTTTCTTAATATTCCAAATCCTCAGAACTCATCATTCATCACTTTATTTCCTCAGAGGCCACAAGATTAATAGGAGGCAGTGGCACACCTGGAACTGGACTCACACCTGGTACAAATGGGTTGCTCATAGTTTGGGGTTTAGCATGAATTATGATTCTCCATAGGTTTGCCTGTTGGGAATTGTGATCTCCTGCAGAGTAGTTTTCATTGGCTTTTAGGATTTTCTTAGATTTAACATGTTATGGAAGAACTTTCAATACTAGCATCTAGCCTCACAGATGTAACTTTCTAAAGATGGGCTGATGTGTAATCCGTGTGAGGGGTTTCTCCTTGGGATGGCATACACATCAGGGGGACCAAGGAATATTACACACCTAGGAAGAAGAGAAAGCAATGTGAACAGGCCTACCTATATAAAGGTTTTCTCGCTCAAATAATCAATAATGATATTCAGTATTTTCCTTGGCACATTCAAATATTTTTCTGGTTTTTTGCCCACAGTAGATAGCACTGCAGTACCAGGAGGTCAAGCAACTGGGAGTGTGACAGGTGAACCTGGGAGAAAACCACCTTTTTTCCTGTCTTGGAATAAATGGGTTGTCTGAGAAAGTTGCCTCAACTTGGGAACATTTTGATTGCTTTTTTAATAGCATTTGTCATAGAAAAGGTTTATGACTCTCACCTCATCAGGAAGCAGTGGAAGGACCCTTTGATATAGCACATTTCTTCTAGAGGCAGGTCTTTAGGAGACAAACACAAGTCACTGTGATGACTTTAGACCCTTTGTGTTTCAGGCACCACAACTGTTGCCCTTGGCAGTTCCAACACAGGTGAGTCGACAAAATGGCAGGAAATCTTCCATGGATCCAGCTATGATGAGTTTACTCCAGTGCTATCCTGTGTAGGAGAACTACCACATATTTTCCATGGTCCTTGCATGGTTTCCAATCATCTCTCTTCCGTTTTCCCCTCTCTCAGAGGCCACAACTTCTGTAGAAGAAAGTAGAACAGCACGAGTTGGAATAATCATGGGTGAGCACTGCTGAGTCACTACTTGTACTTTCTAATGTCTTCCTAATAAAAAGTCTTGTCTGAAATATATCAAAACTCTTTGAATTTCCATATTCAGCATATTGGGCAAAATTTTAGCAGATGTTCAATATTTGACGTCAATAAATTCAGTTCAGACACTTCAACTTTTCTTGCTTGTGTTCTAACGAGCCTTCATCAGGGCATCACGGGGCCCATTCCTGATAGTTATACAAGTGATTTGCCCTCAAATCTATCTTCCTTTAACTAGACCCTAAAAGGGGGTCTCAGTGTTGGAGGACTTTCTCCATAAATTTGAGAAGGGAATGACATGTTTTGAAGGAAATACCTGGAGGATCTCTTGAAACTAAGAAGTCCAGAGAAATATAGATTCACTGGTATATGGGAGAAACAGTTTTTTTTTTAAAGCCTATGCCCATTTCATGATGTGCAACAAGTTGACCACAGCCCTTTTTTTTTTCTTTTTTAATTTCAGGCACAATTGAGAGCATCTCTGGCAAAACTCTGGGACCTGGAAGTGCCAACACAGGTCAGGAGTCCTAAACGTGGACCTTCAGGAGATATAGACTGTGGAAGCCCAGAATGTCCTGTCCACACCCCAAGTCTTTACTCCTTTTTTCTTTTCTCTCTCAGAAGCCATAAGTTCCACAAGAGGCAGTGAGACCACCCAAGGAGGACTACCAGGAGGTGAGTTTTTCAGTCCAAGGCCTAGGTTCTCATTATTTCTTTATTTGGATCACTTCAATGAGCAAATGAATGGTAAGGAGTATGATGGAAGGACCTGCCATATTTGTTGGTTCAAAAACTCAGGAGCTTCCTGGGTGAAATCTGAAACTTGACTCCATCCACAAAGGGCAAGGTGAGACTGAAGAAAGAGGCAAACCACTCCATGTTGGTGGGTAGCAGGTTTAACAAGCAAGGGAACTTACATGCAAAGCTTGTCTTGGGCAGCCATAAGACAAGTAGATCTCTGCATCTGCCTGCCAGAATCTTAAAAGATTTTATAGAGGCCTTAACTGGGTTCAGTCACGTATACCATCCTGAAGGTTTCAATGACACATTGCTCTCTCCAGGCTGCATCCTTGAAAATGGCTCCCACTATGGGAACTGTGGTCAGAACGTAAGTTCCAAGGCCAGGGAATGGGGCAAGGTGTCACTGATTGCCTGGGTCTAGCTTTAGGGTCAACTAGTTGTACATCCTCTCCATGACAATCCTCTTCTTCAACAATACTGTACCATATGAACCCGGGTAATTATTCTTCCTGGGAATTCCAAGACCACAGATGTCTCAATCAAGCTGTCCTCAGTGTTCTGGCTTACAAAGATTTTTTTTTCCTGTAAAAAGGTATGCATACATATTGCATATATCCCAACCCCTTCCCCCAGTACTTCCAATCCTCCTTACCCAGCTTGCCTTCCTGCCATAGCCTGCTATCATCTCTCCCATACTTATGCATGATGTTTATTATTTATTTTCTATCTCCCCTCAATGGAAAAGTTCATGAAGGCAACTGATTATCAAAATGTTCCAAGTTATATCAAAGATTCTTTCTTACAAAGATTAAACCATACTTTATTCCCTCACTTAGGCACCTCTGGCACACCAGGTGGTTATGTCCCTGGAAGTAAAACAGGTAAGGGTGATTTTTACTGCTGCTTCCTCTTACTACATAGTAAAAGGGAACCCCAGGTGCAACACATCCATCCAAAGCTGACTTGAGAAATGAAATGCTGTAAAATTGTTTATTTTCCATTTTTTTCATAGACAGTCTTCAGAAAAGGATACCAGTGCTTTAGGGCCACACTGATGATTCCAAGATGAACTGAGGAGGAAATGCTGTACTGCAACATTTACTTTTTGCATTTTAGGTATCACTGGAGAATTGTCTGGAACAACCATTGCATCTGAAATTTCTAACACAGGTAGGTTAGCAAGAAGGAAATTCCCCATATTTAATCTCAGATGTCATGATCTCACTTTTAGGGCTTCTATAATAAAAAATACCCCAATATCTCTTCCCAGTATTCCAAATTCCCAGACTTCATCATTATCCTATTTCTTCCCTCAGGGGCCACAATTTCCACAGAAGAGACTACAACTGGAGCTCAAACAGGTGAAAACAAAGAGCCTATGATTTGAGGCCATCAGTTTTAGGACTCTCTAGGCTTTCCTTGAGAAAGTTTGTGTGTAATTTAGGGACACTGCAAGTGAGTCAAAATAGTTTGCTATTAGAGATAAAATCTTTTTGAAAATCCATTAAATACAGAATTGAGCTTCACTGCTTCAAGTCTAAAGAAGGGATGGGATTTCTCCATTGGTATTACAAATATCACCAGCATATTAGCCAGAATCCAAAAAGAATTCTCTTTTTTTGTCAATTCCTTCTAGCTGAAATAATACAGAGTGCAGAGTGATTTCTGCCCTATGGAAATCTTTGTCTGAGCTTCCAAATTCCAGAGTGTTAATATTTTCCCAAATCCCTGAATTCATATACAGCAGAATACTCTCTCTCTGTCTCTCTAAATTTCTCTCTGTCTCTCACTCAATCTCTTTGTCTTGTCTTCTCTTCAGACTGCTCTACCAGGGAGCCAGGTCTCTGAGAGTCAAACAGGTGAACATGAGAAAATATAAATATCTCCCTGATATTTACCAATACTCAGAATAAGAGGACTTCTATTGTGAAAATATAGTTTTACTTAATTTTTTTCTGAAAGAAATGTACTTGTGGAAAGATATGTGAGGAATCCTAGAATAGGACCTCAATGACTGAAAAGAAACATAATGATTTTCTTCTTAGCTCTTCTTTGAACGTAAGGGAAATGACATATAATCCCTTTTCCTTTGTGATTTCAGGTACCAGTGGTGTAGTCTCCAGCCCAGCTATTACATCTGGAAGTTCCAGCACTGGTAATGGAATAGATACAAAGGCAATCATCCCTTGTCTAACCTCAGGGAGAAATATGTATCCCCAAACATACTTTCCACTTTCCTTATTTCTTTTTTCCAGAGTCTAAAACTTCCTTAGAAAGCCTCAGAGTCATTGTGATGAAATTAGTGAGAACTAGGATTCCCAGATGTTAGCATTGCCATTGAGAACCATCATGAGTTTGCCTCTGGATCAGAGAGATTGTACAGGAAGGGCAGGCCCTCCAGCCAATATGCAGGGCCCAAAATACTGTTGATTCACAACCCCCAGCTGGTTTCTGGACCAGCCTTTTCCCACGCCTGGCACTGTGGTGTGGATTTCTGAAGAGGGCAGTAGGAGTAGTAATTCCCTGGAAGACTAACCCACTGGATTATTACAGGCATTACTGTAGGAGTCAACACTGTCCAAGAAGGTTCTGTCTCAGGTAAAAGGATGACTAAAATGAACTTAGCAAACTTTGCCTCCCATTTGACTTGTATCTTGAGCTTTAAATTCTAAATTGCCTAATGGTTGGTTGCCTCCATGAATGATTAAAGGTCATAACATACACAGAATCTTTTTCATGCTTTCAACCATTAGTAACTATCTCTGGAACATCAGACAATCAAGTCACTGAAAGTAAAGCAGGTAAATGTGGAAAAAATTCCTCTGTTTTTAGCTGAAGATTTTGTGTTATATTTGCTAACTAGGCCGACTAGAAAATAGGCTTCTTGAGTAAAAAGTCTTCATTTATTCAGTGATGAATCTCTAGTATTCAACAGAGCTCAGTAAATATTTGTTGAATGAATGAAGTAATTGATATACGAGAAAAACACACGTGATTCAATCCAGGAGTAGAAAGGCCAGTGAAAGGGCGTGCTTACAGGTCTGCCATCTGGACAAAACGGTCTCTGTGAACAGTGTTTCTGGAAGCTGCCATACACAATGTAACACTGAATGATATGGCCCTGGAAATATACATTTATTTTTATACATTGATTTGATACTCAGATTGCCTCGATGTGGAAGATTCTGCATGATAATCCCATGTCCTTTTCATTTCAGGTACCAAGGGTATGGCCTCTGGTACCACTGTTGAACCTGGAAGTTCCAATATCGGTAGGCTAACAAGCTGGAAAGAAAGCATCCTTTCTAGAAATAAGGTGGCAAAAATGTCTTTCACACTGATCTTCTCACATAAGAACATCATAGCCTATTTTCCCTTCTTCCTAAATCCTCTTTTATCCGTTTCTTCTTTTTTTATTTACAGAAGCCACAACTTCCACTGGGGTCATTAGAACTTCTGTAGTGGAATGGAAAATAGATGAGAATTATTGTGTATGTGTGTGTGAGAATTTTGGTTGATAAATTACAGTTGACCCTGAACAACATGGGTTTGAACTGCACAGGTCCATTTATATGTGGGTTATTTTCAATAGTAAATATTATTGTTACCACACAGTCTCTGGTTGGTTGAATCCATGGATGTGGAATCATGGATATGGAGTATCTGTGGATACAGAAGGCCAACTGTAAATTATGCATGGATTTTTTGACTATGAAGGGAGTCAGCACTCCTAACCCCCACCTTGTTCAATGGTCAACCGTGCTCTTTGTTTCTTGCAGGACAGTTTCTTGTGGAGGAATTTTTAGGAACTCTCATCTCAGATCAACAATGTTTTCTTTTGTTACTTGATTTTGAATCAATTTGGGCAGATTTTTGAAGTCCCTCTCTTTCCGTTGTCCAGCCTCATACATGTAGATCCCTGCAAATGAAAGTAGAAGCGATAAATGTCTAGAAAGTTTTTTCTGTTTGCCATTTTAGGTATCACCACGAAATTAAATGATGGAAAGACAGTCCCAGAGGGTTCTATTTCAGGTAAACAGAAGGCTACAATGAACACAGAAAATTGACTTCTGTTCATTAGATTCTTCCTTGAGTACAAAAGTGACTGAAATGTGCAGTGCTTATCCCAATAACTGTCTATGTTACATTCAAAAGTTTTCCTATTTTCATCCTCTTAGGAGCTACCACTGGAGTATCAATAAATGAAGAAACTGGAAACACATTAGGTGACTATGGTGGGAAGGGGGCCAGAAGAACAAGAAAGCAAAGCATGAATAACCCCTATCTTATTACCATTAAATTCCAGAAGAGGGGTCTCCTATGCTGAGGAATTACATCTTTGTTTGATTTGGGAATTAAAACTATGCATAAGAGAACACAAATAATTCACAAGCATTTGAAAAAGCCCAAAAGATGATCAGATTCCCCCGTGGGATGAAAAGTCACTACTTCTCTTTTTGTTGCAGGTACCACAAGGGTAGTTTCTGGCACTACACTTGAACCTAGGAGTTCAAACACAGGTGAGCCAACCAACTGGAGAGAATCCTCCACAGGAAAATCTCTACTAGTAAAGTGTCTTTCATGGTGCTGTTATCAAGAAAGTTTTTCTTAGAATGCTTAACTTTCCTGAATGCTTAACTTTTCTCAGAATGCTAAATCCTCTTCATCTTACTTTTTTTTTTTTTTTTTTTTTTTTACTTTTCTTCTCTCTTAGAAGCTAGTACACACTCTGGAGACAGTGGGACCACAGAAACTGGAATATATACATGTCAGCACACAAGCTTCATAACCTCTCCACTTTTCACTTACAATAGCAATAATAGCTAACTCTTTTGAACACTAACTATGTGCCAGGAACTATTCTACAACTTATTATTATCTCTTTTCCCTCACGCCAAACTGTGAGGTAAGTACTACTGTTTTCACAGATAAGAAAATCTATGGCTCAGAGATATTAACTAAAGTGTGCAAGGTCACACAGCAAATAAACAGCAGATTTCAACTCAGGCCATCTGGCTTCAAGGTCCACCCACTTAGCTATGCTCCTCTGCTACTACTACCACACTATTTCACTAGATTTCTTTGTCACATGTCTAAACTTTTCTTGCACATTAAAATTTCAGTAACATCAATACTTTACCCAGATGAAAATTCAATGGGCAATCAACCCTTCACTGTTTATTCTTCTAGGGGGATGTAGTAGCGAAGTCACTGGCATTCAAACAGATAAGTAAAGGAAACTACATTTGTTTCACTGACATTGATCCCAGAGAAAGGAATGTTATCATTGAGACTCCCACAACCACCCAACATTGCACCTTCCCCCCACCAAATTTTTACTGGGATGAAATATTACATTAGAAAAAAATATTAAAAACTCTGGAAAAAGCTATCCCTGAAAACAACATTTTCATGTAAAAAAGAATTCTGTAGTTTCCCCATCCTATTCTAGAATATGCTCTTCTTATTGTAGGAATAAAATTGACATAATGATACCATTCAATTTTTTTAAAAAACATCTTTATTGGAGTATAATTGCTTTACAATGTTGTGTTAGTTTCTGCTGTACAACAAAGTGAATCAGCTATATGTATACATATATCCCTATATCCCCTCCCTCTTGTGTCTCCCTCCCAACCTCCCTATCCCACCCCTCTAGGTGGTCACAAAGCAACGAGCTGATCTCCCTGTGCTATGCGGCTGCTTCCCACTAGCTATCTATTTTACATTTGGTAGTGTATATATGTCCATGCCACTCTCTCACTTCGTCCCAGCTTACCCTTCCCCCTCCCCATGTCCTCAAGTCCATTCTCTACATCTGCATCTTTATTCCTGTCCTGCCCCAAGGTTCTTCAGAACCTTTATATATATATATTCCATATATATGTGTTAGCATATGGCAAATGTTTTCTTCTTTCTGACTTACTTCACTCTGTATGACAGACTCTAGGTCCATCCACTTCACTACAAATAAATCAATTTCACTTCTTTTTTATGGCTGAGTAATATTCCATTGTATATATGTGCCACATCTTCTTTATCCATCATCTGTCAATGGACACTTAGGTTGCTTCCATGTCCTGGCTATTGTAAATAGAGCTGCAATGAACATTGTGGTACATGACTCTTTTTGAATTATGGTTTTCTCAGGGTATATGCCCAGTAGTGGGATTGCTGGGTTGTATGGTAGTTCTATTTTTAGTTTTTTCAGGAACCTCCACACTGTTCTCCATAGTGGCTGTATCAATTAACATTCCCACCAACAGTGCAAGAGGGTTCCCTTTTCTCCATACCCTCTCCAGCATTTATTGTTTGTAGATTTTTTGATGATGGCCATTTTGACTGGTGTGAGGTGATACCTCATTGGAGTTTTGATTTGCATTTCTCGAATGATTAGTGATTTTGAGCATCCTTTCATGTGTTTGTTGGAAATAGACATCTATTTAGTTATTTTGCCCAATTTTGGACTGGGTTGTTTTTTTTTTTGATATTGAGCTTCATGAGCTGCTTGTATATTTTGGAGATTAATCCTTTGTCAGTTGCTTCATTTGCAAATATTTTCTCCCATTCTGAGGGTTGTCTTTTGGTCTTGTTTATGCTTTCCTTTGCTGTGCAAAAACTTTGAAGTTTCATTAGGTCTCATTTGTTTATTTTTGTTTTTATTTCCATTTCTCTAGGAGGTGGGTCAAAAAGGATCTTGCTGTGATTTATGTCATAAAGTGTTCTGCCTATGTTTTCCTCTATGAGTTTGATAGTTTCTGGCCTTACATTTAGGTCTTTAATCCATTTTGAGTTTATTTTTGTGCATGGTGTTAGGAGGTGTTCCAATTTTATTCTTTTACATGTAGCTGTCCAATTTTCCCAGCACCACTTATTGAAGAGGCTGTCGTTTCTGAATTCTGTATTCTTGACTCCTTTATCTCTGGGCTTTCTGTCCTGTTCCATTGATCTATATGTCTATTTTTGTGCCAGTACCATACTGTTTTGATTACTGTAGCTTTGTATATATTCTGAAGTCAGGGAGCCTAATTCCTCCACCTCCGTTTTTCTTTCTCAAGATAGCTTTTGTTCTTCATGGTCTTTTGTGTTTTCATACAAACTGTGCAATTTTTTGTTCTAGTTCTGTGAAAAATCGCATTGGTAGTTTGATAGGGATTACATTGAATCTGTAGATTGTTTTGGGCAGTATGGTCTTTTTCACAATGTTGATTCTTCCAGTCCAAGAACATGGTATATCTCTCCATCTGTTTGTATCATCTTTAATTTCTTTCACCAGTGTCTTATAGTTCTCTGCATAAAGGTCTTTTTTCTCCTTAGGTAGGCTTATTCCTAGGTATTTTATTCTTTATGTTGCAATGGTAAATGGCAGTGTTTTCTTAATTTCTCGTTCAGATTTTTCATCATTAATGTATAGGAATGCAAGAGATTTCTGTGCATTAATTTTGTATCCTGCTACTTTACCAAATTCATTGATTAGCTCTAGTAGTTTTCTGGTAGCATGTTTAGGATTCTGTATGTATAGTATCACATCATCTGCAAACAGTGACAGTTTTACTTCTTCTTTTCTGATTTGGATTCCTTTTACTACCTTTTCTTCTCTAATTGCTGTGGCTAAAACCTCCAAAACTATGTTGAATAGTAGTGGTGAGAGTGGGCAAACTTGTCTTGTTCCTTATCTTAGTGGAAATGGTTTCAGTTGTTCACCATTGAGGATGATGTTGGCTGTGGGTTTGTCATATATGGCTTTATTATGTTGAGGTAAGTTCCCTCTATGCCTGCTTTCTGGAGGGTTTTTATCATAAATGGGTGATGAATTTTGTCGAAATTTTCTCTGCCTCTATTGAGATGACCATATGGTTTTTCTCCTTCAATTTGTTAATATGGTGTATCACATTGATTGATTTGCATATACTGGAGAATCCTTGCATTCCTGGGATAAACCCCATTTGATCATGGTGTATGATCATTTTAATGTGCTGTTGGATTCTGCTTGCTAGTATTTTGTTGGGGAATTTTGTGTCTATGTTCATCAGTGATGTTGGCCTGTAGTTTTCTTTTTTTGTGACATCTTTGTCTGGTTTTGGTATCCGGGTGATGGTGGCCTCGTAGAATGAATTTGGGAGTGTTCCTCCATCTGCTATATTTTGGAAGACTTTGAGAAGCATAGGTGTTAACTCTTCTCTAAATGTTTGATAGAATTCCCCTGTGAAGCCATCTGGTTATAGCCTTTTGTTTGTTGGAAGATTTTTAATCACAGTTTCAATTTTAGTGCTTGTGATTGTTCTGTTTATATTTTCTATTTCTTCCTGGTTCAGTCTTGGAAGGTTGTTCATTTCTAAGAATTTGTCCATTTCTTCCAGGTTGTCCATTTTATTGGCATATAGTTGCTTGTAGTAATCTCTCAAATACCATTCAATTTTGTTTTCAGGTACTACTGGAGTGTATCGTGGTAGTACCATCTCACCTTGGAGTTCCAACACAGGTGAATCAATGGGGAAACAGGTGCTATAATTTCTTTCTTGGGGCAAGTTCTGGAGCAATAGCACATGATGCCTTTTTATGACTTTCTATTAGACTTCACTACTCTCTACCTTTTCATTCTTAGAAGCTACAACTTTCAGAGAAGGAAGCATAACCAAAGAAAAGGAGGAAGCTTGTATTTATGAAAATTATATCATTTCTTCTGGGGTAAACCTTATACTGTAATTCTTAAGAGAGAAGTCCAGAAAGGATTCCCTTTTGGACATTCAACCTATTACCTGGGTGTGAGATGGAGGCAATATATGTACATATAGTTATAAGTAGGGAAGCAGAGATGATAGAAGTAACTCTGGAAGTTTAGTTTAGCTCTATTAAATTTTTGATTTTTGATGTTATGAATTTATTCACTTTATACAATTAAATGCATTTAGACAAATATTGTTTTTATTTCTTGTCATTAGGAGCCACCACTGGCACCTCTGAGAGGCCAAGTCCTGGAAGTGAAATAGGTAAATATGGGAGAGGCCCAGTGACCTCTGATATTTAACCTTAAGAAGCAAACCATCAAGGCCTGGACATGAGCCAATGTTTTTATTGTTGCCCTGAATTTAAAAATGGAGAATGCACTCATTTTGACAGGATAGCCCCAAGAAGAGTCTTCTACTTTCAAGTCCTAGAGAACTTGTTGGCCATGCTCTTCTCGGGATGTTAAATGCATCACTATTGGGATTCTCTGTTTCTCTCTTCTACTTCAGGTACCACTAGTGTAGTCTCTGACACAACAGTTGCATCTGGAAACTCTAACACAGGTAAAGCAATAACCTAATGGGGAGTATAAAGAACTTCATAATGAGATAGCCTTCTCCCTTCAACTCTTGCACCCAAAAACACACATTCCCTACCATACCCAGTGGATACCACCCAACTTTTCTGAGTACATGAGTCTTCAGTATTTAGTATTCTTCTCCTTTCTTTGTTTCACTTAGGGGCCACAACTTCTTTGGGAAGTGGTGAAACCACCCAGGGTAGAATTAAAATAGGTGAGTAATAACAGTCAAAAATTATTTTTCTCTTCATCTTAAAATATATCACGTTGGCTATAATAAAATTAGGGGGAATTCTATTCTACCTGAATCTCTCTTTGGGTACAAATTATTAGGATGTTAACTGCCCTATATTTTACCCCATGTGAATTGCCTTTTTTGTACATTTGTAATAAAATGGCATAATAGAAGCCACACTTAAGGCAAGAAAGTTTCTGATATAATTTGTGCTAAACCAAATCCTACTTCGAAACCCTAGGAAAAGGGAATCATAAATTGATTCTCTCCTCTTGTGATTTCAGTTACCACAAGGGTGACTACTGGCACAACTATCGCACCTGGGAATATACGGGAGGAAGGAAAAAATTTATAACTGATAGAAGATATAGTGAGGTCAAATGTTGACAGTTTGGATTTAAGATGCTCTGATGTGTCCAGTTAGTATGCTCAGCAGGAGTGATAAATGCGACCAGAACACAGAAGAGAAGCTTGCATTGGAGATAGAGATTTGTCAAGTCGTTCACTTACAAATGATATTTGAAACTGTGGATGCTGGTGGGTTTCCTTACGATGGGCATATAGAGTGAGAAGAGAAGACAAATAAACAGAAACATGATTCCTTGAGCTATAAAGGTGGGCAAAGGCAAAGGGGCCTGAAAAAGGGAGGAGTTGGGGCTCAACAATTGCCAGTATGGTTAAGTCAAATCCATAAGGCAAAGTTTTGGAGTGCTGGAGACTAGATTGCTTCTAATTTTGGGATTCAGAATGTCAAATCAAACAGGATCAACCAGAATTTGCAGGGGACATATGTGTTTTTAATATTTTGTTTTTCGGAGAACCTAGCCTTACAATTATAAAACTTTGAAATTAAAAGGGAGAACTGTCTTGAAATAATTAATTAAAATTTCAAGATTCTTGATCCTTTCCATTTTTTAACCTTCAGGAGTCACTAGCATAATTTCAGGGAGCCAATCTACTAGAAGTAAAATGGGTGAAGTTGGGGAAGTTAAAAATGTGAAGATGGGAGAGGCATCCAACTCCATGATACTAGTTCCAGAAAAGAAGGATCCCAGAAGACTGGAGTTTACCACAAGAAATGAAACAGATCAATAAAAAAATGTTTATTTCACCTTTTGGAACAAGGAATCCTAGAGGAGGAATGCATTCTTTTACAGAAACACATGATTTGTCCTAAACCATGATCTCCATCTAATAAGAAAGACATCCCTGCACATTTCCTCCTCTTTATATTCTCTCCCATCCCAGGTACCACTGGGACAGGCTCTGGGACATCCTCACCTGGAAGTTTCAAAACAGGTAAGTCAAATAGTAAAAGGAATTCTCCTTTAAGTGGTCGTAGGGAGAAGATCATACACTGCTATATAATTTTCATATTTTCAACCTCTCAAGCTTCTCAATTTTTCCTCCTTTGCTCTTACAGAAGCCACAACTTTTAAAGAATATGTTGGAAACACTGAAGCAGGAATTTCATCAGGTGAGTTTTGCCAGATTTTGGATTCTCAATGATTTTTTCATTTGAATTTACTACATACAGGTTGTGAATGAAAATTAGCATGAGTTAAAAATGGTTTCTTTTAATTTAATAGCATATCATAAGGCCAGCCTAGATTAGCTCTCTGATTTTTCCTAGAGAACATACTATAGATGAAATTTAATTCTCTAAACACACTCTTTATTTGAAATTTCACTGCTTTTGTTTTGCCAGGCAATAGCCTGGAATCAGTAGGAGTCACCAGTAGTCAAGAAGGTGAATGGAGATCACTATAATAGACACAAGTAAATTTGTTAATTAAGGCTTTGGTTGAGATGCCTAACCCTTGATCACAAGTTTAGACAATTTTTTTCTGTTTTTTTCTTTTTGATGCTGGAAAACCAGGGAGTTAAGTCACTAGAAGTAAATCATGTAAATATAGGACAGATATTCTCTCATTTAATATCAGATTCTAGATGATTCTAGATCTAGAGAAATAAGATCTATGGAGCATGACTTTTCCTCCTATATTTTATTTGACCAAGCAGTTATGAGAAAGTGCACAGGAAAATATGCTAGGCTTAACATTTTGTGCAAGAAAAAATTTTAAACAGTTTTCTACTGCTTCAGAGAAACAGGAACACTTGTCAATACCACACTCTTCTTAGGGTGAGAAAGGCTTTGTGAGGCTTATCCTTCTCTCTTACTACAGGTACCACTGGGTTAGCCTCTGGCACAACAGGTATTCCTGGAAGTTCCAACACAGGCAAGTAAATATTTAATATGTGGCTCTAAGTAGCTAAGCCTAGAAAAATAAGAGCCTTTCTCTGGAATTTACTGTCTGTTGTAACATCAACACAGCAGTCCTGACTTTAGTCTTCTTTGCCTTTCTTAGGAACTAGCACTGGAGTTGGAATGCAAAAAAGTAAGTGTCAGTGGTTCATATCTGTTGAGTTCTGTTAGTGACTCCTATGCCTTTGCTTCAACCTAGGGGAATGTTGAAGGTAAAGATAAAGGGCCAGGAAATAGGGCAGAATCTCAGTAGAGAATGTCCTCTTCCAGCCATCTAAGGTTGTCTTCTTGCTCTGAGTTTCTGGGCTCCAACCAGAGCCCCCAGGTAAGTGTGTAAAAGTGCACAAGGGCACACTACTAAAGGGAGGAGTAGAGGCTGAAATCCAGCCAGCATTTCTTCAACAAGTTATAAATCCATGGGGTTTCATCTGCCCAGAGGGTTTTTTTTCTGTCATTTTTTGTTAGTTTGTTTTTACTTCATAAAGTTGCTCTATGGGCTAGCTGCAGCATTGGCCTAGACTTTCATCTGATTTACTTTCTCTTCCTGCTTTTGATCTTTGAGGCTACCTATAGAAGGTATGTCTGATGTGAAATGTCCTTCATTTGACTTTGCAGGCACTGCTGTGATATCAAGCAAAATTACTGGTGTCTCAGAAAGTTCCAGCCAAGGTAATGGAAATGACTGACAGAGTGAAGTTAACATGTTCAATATTCTTCTTCCCTTTAACACCCAATTGTTTCAGAAAATGGATATTTATCTCTATGAATATTAAACTTGAACTGTAAAAGAAAAATTGTACCAAATGGAGTTAAATGGGCAAAAAAGACTTTAAGATTATTAAATAGGAGTCAAGAACATTGCAATAGGTTGAGATTTTGAACTTAACTTTGCTGAAATAAAAGGTGGGAGAGTGTTTAAGTGCTGGCGTGAACTAGTGGGGAGAGGTTGGTTTCTGTGATTTGGTGATCTGTGTTTGCTAATTGGTGCTTATATCTGTGTTTGCTAATTGGTGCTTATATCTGTGTTTGCTAATTGGTGCTTATAGAATGAAGTTAGGCTCCTACCTTCCCACAGTGACAAGGAGATAGGGGCACTATGTTTCTTTTCTGTTTTTATTGAAGTATGGTTGATTTACAATATTATATTAGTTTCAGGTATACAGCATAGTGCTTCAATATTTTCATAGATTATACTCCATTTAAAATTATTACAAAATAATGACTATATTCCCTGAAAGTATAATATATACTTGTTGTTTACTTATATTATATACAGTAGTTTGTATCTCTTAATCCCTACATCTATCTTGCCCTTTCCTTCTTCTCTCTCCCCACTAGTATCCACTAATTTGTTCTCTATATCTGTGAGTCTGTTTCTATTTTGCTATATACATTTGTTTGTTTTATTTTTTAGGTTCCACATGTAAGTGATAACATACAGTTTCTGTCTTTGTATGACATTTCACTAAGCATAATACTCTCTAGGTCCATCCACATTGTTGCAAATGGCAGAATTTCATTCTTTTTTATGGCAGAGTAATATTCCATTATATACACATGCACACATATATACTTACTACATCTTCTTTATCCATTCATCTGTTGATGGACACTTGGGTTGCTTCCCTATGTTGGCTATTGTGAATAGTACTGCTTTGTACATTAGGGTGCATGTATCTTTTTGAATTTGTGTTTTTATTTTGTTTGAATATATATCCAGGAGCAGAATTGTGGGGCCATATGGTAGTTCTAATAGATTAAAGACCTAAAACCATAAAATTCCTATAAGAGAACATAGGCAGAACACTCTTTGACATAAATCATAGCAATATTTTTTTGGATCTGTCTCCAAAAGCAAAGGAAATAAAAACAAAAATAGGCAAATGATTTTCTCCAGAAGCATTCCCGGTTACAAATTACCTCCCTCCTATCCCCTCAGGCTGTCTCCTTGCAGCCAACAGCAGTCCTCCCCCCAGGTTTGCTCTCCAGTCCCCACGTTCAGCTCTCAGCCCCCATGTGCACCGGCAGACACACATCCCAGATTGGGGCATGCAGGGTTATAGTGCGGAGTGTCTGTGTAGGTGTCACTGTGTCCTGTCTGCCACACACCCTCCTTCAACAGCCTCAGATGCTACCCCTTCTGTCCCAACTGATTTCCCTGTCAGTGAGGGGTCTTCCCCAGATGTGGGAGCCTCTCCTGTGCTTCAGCTCCCCACCAGGGGCACAGATCCCATCCGGCTTCCTCTCCTTTTCTTTTTCCCTTCTTTCTTTCATCCTACCCTGTTATGTGGGGATCTTTCTTGTCCTTTCCGGTGTCCAAGATCTTCTGCTAGTGTTCATCTGGTGTTCTGTGAGAATTGTTCCATCTGTAGATGTACTACTGATGCATTTGTGGAGAGAGATGAACTCTCCATCCTCCTATTCCCCCACCATCTTGGTCAGAATGGCCATCATCAAAAAACCTACAAACAATAAATGCTGGGGATGGTGTGGAGAAAAGGGAACCCTCATGCATTGTTGGTGGGAATGCAAATTGATACAGCCACTACGGAGAACAGTATGGAGGTTGCTTAAAAAGCTAAAAATAGAACTACCATATGACCCAGCAATCCCACTACTGGGCATATACCCAGAGAAAACCATAATTCAAAAAGACTCACGCACCCCAATGTTCACTGCAGCACTATTTACAATAGCCAGGACATGGAAACAAACTAAGTGTCCATTGACAGATGAATGGATAAAGATGTGGTACATATATACAATGGAATATTACTCAGCCATAAAAAGGAACAAAATTGGGTCATTTGTAGAGACATAGATGGACCATGAAAGAGTCAGAAAGAGAAAAACAAATGTCGTATATTAACGTGTATATGTGGAATCTGAAAAAATCGGTATAGATGATCTTATTTACAAAGCAGAAATAGACACACAGGTGTAGAGAACAAAAGTATGGATACCAAGGGGAAAGGGGTGGTGATGGGATGAACTGGGAGATTGGGGTTGACATATATACACTATTGATACTATGTATAAAATAGATAACTAATGAGAACTTACTGTATAGCACAGGGAACTCTACTCAATGCTCTGTGGTGACCTAAATGAGAAGGAAATCCAAAAAAGAGGGGATATATATATATATATATATATATATATATACATATAGCTGATTCACTTTGCTGTACAGTATAGACTAAAATAATATTGTGAAGCAACTACACACCAATAAAAAAAATAAGCAAATGCGACCTAATTAAATTTAAAAGCTTTTGCACAGCAAAGGAAACCATCAACAAAACAAAAGACAACCTCCTGAATAAGAGACAATATTTACAAATAATATGACTGACAAGGGGTTAATATCCAAAAAATATAAACAACTCCTACAACCCTCCCCAAAAAACTAATATGGGAGAACCAGGAAACCAGGATATAGGAAGCAAAATAGTTAAGTGTGAAAATAGTTTTTGTCATTAAGAGAAGGGGGCCCTTAAATGATAAGGCTACCAGGGTCATAGGAAAATACTCAATTCTTCTTTGAGCAAGGAGTTGCTATGTTAGGGCCTGTTTCAATGGCAGGAGCATGAACCAGCATTAGTAGGTGTACTAGTACACTCCAGGTGCTTTGAGACTCTTATTCTTTGTGAAGATGTCTTCAGACACACTATTCTGAGACCAGAAAAAGTTCACTGCTCTTTCCCTATTCATTTTAGTTACCTCCAAGGAAGCATCTGAAACAACCAGTGCTCCTGTAATTTTTACCACAGGTAGGTCAAATAATAATAAATGAACTTTGCTTGGTGGCATCTTAGAAGACAGGGCAACTTACCTGAAGTTAAACTCTAGCTTTTTTAGTCCCTCTACTCACCACGTTTGTGCCTCTCTTAGCAGTCACTGCTTCCACAGGTGTCAAGGAAACCTCTGGAACTGGAATGCAAACAGATGAATGCTAGCGATACAGACCCTTCAATGATCAGTGTGCCTGTGATTATATATGAGGAGTTGAGTTTGGAGGAGAGGAGTGGTGGGAAAGAAACAGCAAAGAAAGGCCAGGAAGATTATCCTACATTTCCTTTTGGAGTATGACTTTGAAGTTCAACTAGGGATTTTGTTTTTCCTCCAGGATTTTTTTGGGTTAGACTTTTAGCAGAACACCTCACTGGAAGACTTAGTTATGACCTTGAAATCTCTGAGAATGGGATTATGAAATGTGCATTCCTGAAATTTTAAATATTTCCCTCTGCAGGCTCCACCTCAGTGTCAAATGGAATCACAACAAGCCCCAAAATGTCCTACCCAGGTAAAATGAAATGACCCAAATGCACTGGAATGAATTGTCTCTTCCACACGAAGCTTTCCTTAATCGTGAATGTGTGTGATCATTTGTGCATGCATGCATACACACAGAAACTTGATATGTGTACATGATATCTAATAAATAAAATGACAGCATTATCCTTTTACAGAAACCACTGTAGTAGCAACAGGAGATCAAGAAAATGAAAATAAAACAGGTCAGTATGGGAAAAGTACTGATTTCTTTGTTACTTATTCAACCAACACTTCTTTAATACCTTATATGTGCTAGACTTTGTAGCAGCCCTTGCCATTTTATTATTTTGTGTGTGTGGGGGGGAAGAGATTATTTTTTTAAAATATAAATTTATTTATTTATTTGTTTTTATTTTTGGCTGTCTTGGGTCTTCATTGCTGAGTGCAGGCTTTCTCTAGTTGCGGCAAGCAGGGCCTACTCTGTGTTGTGATGCATGGGCGTCTCATTGCGGTGGCTTCTCTTGTTGCGGAGCACGGGCTCTAGGTGCGTGGGCTTCAGTAGTTGCAGCATGAAGACTCAGTAGTTGTGGCACACGGGATTAGTTGCTCTGCAGCATGTGGGATCTTCCAAGACCAGGGCTCAAACCCCTGTCCCCTTCATTGGCAGACGGGTTCTTAACCACTGTGCCACCAGGGAAGCCTGGAAGAGATTATTATCTACACAGATACTATCGTTATAGTGTATTTAATCCTTCTCAAACACGTGCACAGCAATTATGGTCCTGGGAGTGCACTGAGACTGTTAATTTCTGTTTATTAGTTGGTAGGGTTGAATGAAGGCATTAGGGAAGAGATCATTGATTTCAATATTGGCTAGGGTGAGGAGGGAATTCCTGTCAAATGGCACTTAAAAAGACAGAGACTTGAGACAGCATGAGTGACTTCAGGAATCAACCAGGTATTGGTACTATTTTTATGAGGTTCAGGGAAGAAATGAGATTAGATAGGTAAGCAAAGGAATGTTTATGAAGGACCTTATTTCCAAACTTAAATGAGACTTTATCCTTACAATAAATGGGGTCTCCTTAAAGATTTTGTTAAGAGAATGATATGATCAGATAGGTCTTAGAAAAATTGCTCTGATAGCAATGTGGAGAGTATGAGATTGTATCTTATTCCTCCCGTTACAAATTTTTTCAATGAACTGGGAATTCTGGGTAGGGAAAATTTTCTGCTATATTTATGCCTAAACACAATTTCTCTCTGCTGTTGCTGGTTTCTGGTAATCTGTTAAGCATTTATAATTGAGAATTAGCCTAGTGTTCCCTTAGTAAAGAGAAATATTTTATGCCCCAAACTTGCACATCCTTAATTAATTTATTTTCTGTTTTTCTGTACCTATTATTTGTTGGGGTCCTTTTACTCAAACATAAAGAAACTTTAAGTTCTTCTCAAATATTCTGTTATTTCTAGTTCAGCCTTCTGCTTGGTAGAGAGAATAAAAATATTAATCTGAATTTTAGCAGTTTGGAAATAGAATTTGAAATTGGAGTGGATTGTTAGGTTGATGAAACTTTGTGATAAGTGAAGCCTCACAAAAAATAGTAAGCAGTTTAAAGCATTTTGTGGGAGTGGAGACAGAACAAGATTAAAATATTGTAAGACAAAAAGAGGATAAAAATTCTTAAAGGATAAAAACCAGGCAACTAATAATACTTATATCTTTTCTATATCTGAGCTATCCTTTTCCTTGTTTGATTATACATTTTATTGTCCTATTTATCAGAACTGCCTTCTGAGAAATTTTGAAGAGAAGTTTACCTTGATTCTTATTCTGCCTTTTGATCCTCATATTTTCTTACCATTAAAATTTGAAATCTAAAGGAAACACTTTCTAATGGTGGAATATCAAATGCCATGAGGAGTAGAAAGGGAAGATTGATGGCAATATGTCTGTTTGTAAGACTAGCAATGTGGTCAAGTGTTTTCAGTGATTAGAAAACTATATTTATTCCAAACCTATTCCAGTAACTTTAGAGATTAATATGAGGTGTCTGTTTTTACACAGGATGTCCAGTATCACTTCCACCGCCTCCAGGTAAGCTTACCTCCACTTGAAAATCAATCATCCTACATTAATGGTTTTTCTTGTAAATCAAATTTCAGAGGTCATGCCAATGAAAGTCACTAGCTATGGAAGTGTGATAAAATAGGAAAACTTGAAGTGTATGAATTTAGCTTTTATTCACCAAATAAATAGTGAATGATAGTTTGTTTTGTCACACACAAACTAATAAAGCCAAACCAAACAAATGCATCTTGTCACTTAGTCAAAATAGAGTTTACTAAATAAAGTGTTTCATGTAACTATACGATACCTTGATCAAAATATTGCTACTCGATAGTATTTTTGAAGCTAAATAATTCCAGCTTTTATTGAGGACTGAATTTTAGCAAGAAAAATTAGGCATAACCAGAGTTCAATACTTTTAGAGGACTTTGAGTTCCTCTAAAATTATCAAGCCAATGTGATGTGCTTTGTACAAAGTGGCAAAAGTTACCAAAAAAATCATTCTCTGATCTTAGGATATAGTGGGAGAAGGGAGATTTTCAAAGAAACATAGGTAATTTTCAAATAAGGCTGAAAATAAATTTCACAGTGAAATATGTGACCTATGTATTATATAGAGAGCACATGTTATGTGTCACATATATTACATATATTGTATACTTTGGAAGGATTCTCGTGTATTTCATTAGAGAATTGGAATTTGAGAACAATAAGTAGGCTAATTCAGGGTATGTAAATGAAAGAAGTGAGACAAGGTCGAGATGATAGATTGGAGACATGTTATGGCAACCTCAGGAGGCAGAATGCTAAAATAAAGTATTTAGTTTACAAGACTGTAAGGGGTATCAGAAGTTCTTAATTGAAGCAATGATGAGATGAAAAGTAGGCTTTAGAAAAACTGTTCTACCTATGACACAGACAATTGACTGGATCAGAAAGAAGACTGAGTCAGACTTCCCCAAAAAAGCCAGATTCTGCTAGGTCAAAGATACTAAGATCCTGCTTAAGGATACGGGGAGGGAGAAGGATAAGCTGGGACAAAGTGAGAGAGTGGCATGGACATATATACACTACCAAACATAAAATAGAGAGCTAGTGGGAAGCAGTCGCATAGCACAGGGAGATCAGCTCAGTGCTTTGTGACCACCTAGAGTGGTGGGATAGGGAGGGTGGGGGGGAGGGAGATGCAAGAGGGAAGAGATATAGGGATATATGTATATGTATAGCTGATTCACTTTGTTATAAAGCAGAAACTAACACACCATTGTAAAGCAATTATACTCCAATAAAGATGTTAAAAAAAAAAAGATACTAAGGTCCTGGAGTAGTATTGTAACAAGTAAAATCAGGAAAGGAAGGGATTCAAGTGAGGATAAGGATACAAGATTTTGCAATTGGTTCAATGCCAAATGATGGAAAGGAAATAATCAAGATGACTTCTAAGTTTTAAGCTTAAGTATTTGAAAGCATAGTTCAGCCCGTAACAGGAGGTGGCCAGCTTAGATGAAAAACTGGTTTTAGGGGAAAAATGATTCAATCTATTTTGTGCACATTTTGTGCACGTGTCTGAGGTTCTTTTAAATCTGCCGAGGTGCTGTTTATTAGGCCAAGGGAGATCTGGGTCCGTAGCTCACAAGAGATGTTTATACAGGAGCTAGAAGTTTGAGAGTCATCCACTTGATGTTATAGTAGATACTGTAAAGATGGAGGAAGGTACCAGTGGGAAGAATAGAGACAAAATGAGAGGGAGGAGGAAGTGCTGCTAACAGGAATTTCAGAGTGTTCAATCTGAAGGAAGAACGTTTCCAAGAAGGTGAGAGGTAAAAAAATGTCAGCTATTGTAGGGAACTTGAAAAGCTGAGAAAGAGCGCTTGGGACTGGTAATTATGAGGTCTTGGTGACTTTTAGGATTGTGGAGACAGAAGTCAGAAAGTGAAACAAAAAGTAAAGCAGTATCCATAAGATTTATTGACCACTGACAGGAGAGGTCAAGAATTATCCTTTCTGAGGATTGTAAAAATAGGAACTATATATATGCTTGCTAAAGACAGTTTGCTCAGAGTAGGGGGAGGTGATTTATCTACCTTAAAGCACCTTACAATCCTTCATAATTCTGTATCTCTGAAATACTAGTGCCAATTCAGTATTGGTCAACCTGGTGGTTATTACAGGTAATTGACTGTTATAGTTTGCCGAATTTAATTAGCATTTGTCATTTCATGTTAACAGTTTGTCATGGTCCACTGGGAGAAAAGAAGTCTGTAAGTACACAGTTTGTCTCTACTTTAATCCAAATTTGCTGTCATTCCTGTATTCAAATAGAAGTCTAAACTTGGTTTGTTTTTGTAGCCTGGAGACATATGGACTGCCAATTGCCACAGATGCACCTGTACAAATGCAAAGACCGTAGACTGTAAACCCAAGGAGTGTCCTTCTCCACCCACATGCAAAACTGAAGAGAGGCTTGTAAAGTTCAAAGCTAATGATACCTGTTGTGAAATCGGGTACTGTGGTATGTATTCATAATACATTACTTGAATTGAATAGTTGTTTACTTATTCACGCATTCAAGAGATATTTATTGAGCTACTAATATGAGTCAAATGCTTGATGGGTGTGATAAATAAAGCAGAATCAATACTTGCCCTCTTAAAGCTTACTATCTTTGGAACAGGGGAGACCCAGTTATGAATGTAATCAGTAGGTTAAAAGGAGATGATGGTGTTATGGGAAGAAACATTATAATGTTTCCTTATTGGTTAGTAAATATGATCTCATATACAATTTCTGTTTTGTAAATAAAAAATTATAATATTTATCTTAGGGTAAAATATGTACTTATTTTTCAGAACCAAGAACATGTTTATTTAAGAATACCAACTATGAGGTAAGGTCATTTTACTTTAAAATACTTTTATTAATATAATTATGAATAAATGCAGGTTCTTTCGGCTAATATGAAAAAATCATAGATAATGGTGGAGTGGAATTTATTTCTTTCCCATATTCATTTCAAAAGCAATGTCAAATGCAATATCCACCATAACTTGCTTCAAAAGGGGGCAATATACTTGATCATTAACCTAGCAATGGAGCTTCTGAACAAAATTTCCCATGGGTCTCACCAAATGGAGAAGACATACAATGTTCAAATCAGTGAAGAGAGTTAAACTGTAATTATAATCAGAAAGATCAGATGGCGGAACAGTCAGAGATCAAATACGAAAACCCAAAAGACTAGAGCTCTACTATAGGGATATAGCAACACAGTATATTCAGGGCTGGATTTGACAATTGATTTGACATATTGAAAAATAATTTAACTTTCTAGGAAAAGTATCACAAAGCCATAAAAACCAGATGATTCTCAAACTGATATTAATAAATTTGAACTGGTGATACTAAATATTACAACAATCTAAATATAAAATAAAATATGTGGTATGTTAGGAAATACATAAAACAGAGCCTATAATTTAATAATAATTTAATTTGATATAACTCATTTATTACACTCACATTTCTACCTGGGCTTCTTAAATTTTAGTTTCCAAAAGTTATCTGACTTGAGAATCTATGACAGTTTTGAAATATAAAATGCGACGATGTTTAAAGAACAAAGAAAAGTTTTACCTCTAATCATTTTTATGCAAAATAGTTGAAATAATAAAATTTCAGTTTACCAGAAAGTTTACTTGTGGTTTGAGGGCCTGATATAAATGGACTTTCCCCAAACTGATGTTTGAATTTTAAACATAAAGTAATTATAAAGCAATCTAGAGAGCTTTAAAAGCACAGGAACACAAGGAAAGATAGAAAATATCTTTTGGGACTTTTCTTTAAAATCCTTGAAAAATATAATAGAGCTACTATAGATTTCAAGGATTTTCTTTAAAATCCTTGAAAAATATAATAGAGCTACTATAGATGAATCTTAATTTGAGGATTGAGAATCTTGACACATTCTGTGCTCTCAGTGAAGACCTTTGATTTATTCATGGAAGTAGAAGACTTTAATCACCTTTTCTTAAATATTAATTTAATGGCTGAAAGTGCCTCTGGAAATTCACTAAACATTATAAATTTGAAAAAAGAATTACAGGTTTTATTGTCAACTTGAAAAATAAATCAAGATGAATACTCATTTGTTCTGTCCCCCTCCCTACCTCCCAGGTTGGTGCTTCATTTGGTGACCCCAGCAACCCATGTGTCTCCTACTTCTGCCACAGCACAGGTTTCGTTGCGGTGGTACAAGACTGCCCAAAGCAGACTTGGTGTGCAGAAGTAAGTCATCTTCTTAAGCAGTGAACAACAAGGTTCACTTCTCATGTTAAATATAAACACAACCTGTCTTCTTCCTTATTTGGAAAAGTTTGTGCCTGGACAATAGTTATACATCTCCTGTAGATTCCATTCCAGTTATGTCATACACATTTTATTGCCAAGTATATTTTTCATATCAAATATATATTTTCAGGTTCTATAAAACTTAATCTAGTGCTAGTCTAGAAGTAAGTTACTGTAGAAAGCATGTTGCTGCTTTTTAAACAAACAAAAAACTGTTTTTTTCAAGGTTCATGGATTCAGCTTAATCATTTTCTGTAAAAGAACATATTTTTTTAATATAATCACATAAATGTGTACTGTTCAGATCTCTCTTTGTGCCACAATTTTTATCCCCTGAAAATATGGTGAGGGTTTTGTATTAATGAATGCTTAAGTTTAAATTACTAAGGAAGGTTTAAATTTAACTATTTTTTCTTTCTGAAGCTATAATTGATAATATAGTTTAAAGTTTTATTTTAGAACTCCAGTGTTGGCTTTCAACATTTACTGAGTTTTTACTTTGAGACATTGATAAGTTTGAGGGTATAATAATTTATAAGACGAAAATCCTGCCTGTGAGAAACTTAGTGTCAAGTAGTAATGTTATTATGAAAGTATTTTTTTTCAATTCAAATAGGGAGGAGTAACTTTTTATTTTTTGGTATTTTATTTTAAAGAAGAACTTAAACATTGTTTTTCCCTTTCTGACTACTGTTGAAAAAATTTGGTGTCAATAGTCTCATTTTTATTGCTATACTCTCCCGTCTGTGCTGACTGGATCTGAGATCAGCGTGTCTATCTGTTCCATTTCCCCCTTTGTGATGCTATTTCAATATGTTAACAATGTTATATTATTTATAGGAAAATACAGAGGTTTTTCAGCCTGTTTCTTTTTCTCATACCCCTATAGCAAGCCAGAGTCTATGATTCAAATAAGTGCTGCTATACATGTAAGTAAAATCAAGTTCCACATACGGAGGAAATGTAAACTGTTGATAAAAATTTAGTGTTTCTTTAAAACAAAATGGCAGATCATTAATAGAAAGTCTCCTGTGTTTTTAACACAACAGGTAATCTAACCATATGCATACAATTAATTACACAAACAATTAATACAAAGTATTATATTTTCTCACGCATGTTGGTTGCAGCATTCTTCCCGGTAAAAACCAGTGATGTTTACAAGGGAGAAAATTTAATTTTCATGGAAAAAAATTAGTTTGCTCTCCTAACATCAGTAGGTTATGTTGTAAATTGTTGTATTAGATCATAAGGATGATCAGCAATGAGAAAATGGATATCAGAAACAACCATCTTCCTGTCTTTTCTTCCTTCCCTCTTTCTTCCTTCCTCCTTCTAACTTCTTCCCTTCCTCCTCCTTCTTTTATTCTTTCTTCTCCTATGATAGTAATAATAGAATAATAATAACATTTATTGAGTATTAACAAGGTACCTTGTTCTGGATGCTGAGACAGTTAATCCCTTTCAATAACATTGTGACGTATTTGTTGTTATTATTCTCTACTTTATGGTTAAGAAAACTGAGACTTAGCAATTGTTAATGTTGAACCTCATTTTTGACTCTGTTATCCTAGGTAAAACTAATTGCAGATCTTCACCCGTGAATGTGACTGTTAACTACAATGGTTGCAAGAAAAAAGTTGAGATGGCAAGATGCACAGGGGAATGCAAAAAGACTCTCAGGTAAGTTTTTCCTTGAATGTATACTGTGCATTAATTTTGGAACACTGTGGAGAAAATTAAGCGTTTAAAACATTACATGGACAAATGTTTACATGAAAGCTAATGATCAGGACCTGATTAAAATGAAAATATTAATATCTGCAAATCAAAACAAACATTTTAAATAGTAATTAATCATTTTGAAGTAGTTTTCTAAATAAGTCAAACATAATACATTTATGACAAATGTATTTATTTTCATATAGTGATTACAGAGATTACTTAAGCAAATACTCTTGCTAAAAAGTGATTTTTTAAAAAGTTGCTTACATTTTAGACATAACATATTACATATTTTTCCTTTTGTACACTTTTACATGTAGATTAATATATGGAAAATAATAATTTGATATTAATTGTATATTTAAAAACTGTTTTGTTTATATTTTTTGCACCATAATGCTCTAATTATGAAATGGTAAATCTCTCTATTTTGGACTTTTTTCATTTTCTTTTTTTTTTGGTCTTACATACCAATTTTAACGAATTCATACCAGAAGTTTACAGTAAAGGGGGAAATGCAAGGTGTAGGGAAAGAATAAGTTGGTTGGAAGACTTGCTAAATCACTTAGACAATTAGAATTTGAGCATTGATGTCAATTTATTTCAGAAGACATTCTGAAATTATTTATTACCTAATTTTCTTTTTTTTTAGGTATGATTATGATAAATTTCAGTTGAAAAATTCATGCCTTTGCTGCCAAGAAGAAAACTATGAGTTCAGAGAAATTGTTCTTGACTGTCCTGATGGCGATACAATACCTTACAGATACAGGCACATCACGACGTGTTCCTGCTTAGACATGTGCCAACAATCTACGACCTCAACAGTCAGTTAATAGTAAATAGCATTACCTTTCCAGTTGTAACAGACCAGGTATTTATTTTGTAAGTGAACAAAAATAATGACTTAAATAATGAGAATAACTAAACATTTTATGTCACTCAAAATGTGAGTTGCCATTATGAGTCATTTTGTTCTTTTATTGACTGGATCTGAAAAATAAATACAACTTTTCAAGCAATTAGGGAACATATGTATTTATTTGGTAGCAATGAGAATTCTAGAAGTCAAGGAGAAACTGAGTCATATCATGGTTCTCCAGTGTACTCACCTTCTACTCTTCATCTGGATGAGGCCATTTTCCTGTTTTGTCCCTTCCCTTCACAGCTAAACTTATGAAAATGTAAATTTTGTTCATCACCCCTTTCATTCTATGACAACTCCCTCTGCTGAGAACACCCATGGCCTTCTTATGATTTTTTTCTGTAGGATCTGATATCATTTTCACTCTTCCTTTCTTGAAACATTTTCCTTGCTGTTTCTGTGACATCATTTTAAATTAGTACTTCTACATTCTGTGGACACCTTCACTTTTGCCAGTCTTTTAAATCTCAGTTCTCCAAAGTTGTATCCTGTTCCTCTTCTCATTTTACTGAGGCTTCTTAGACAATTTCACTAAAATAGGCAGATGTGTTTATACATGGAGGACCTCCAATCTATATCTCCAGCCCCAAACTCTTCTTTGAATTACATTGATAGAACTACATTGATAGAACTCTGAATTTACATCTCTAACTGGACATTCTGTAGGTACCACAAATTAAGCAAGACCAAAACTAAATTAATGTCACTCCCCCAACCCACTCTTTTACTTGTATTTTGCATATCATTGAGGTAGTTAGCTAGAAGTTGAGGTTCAATAATATCATGACTGTCATCTTCAATACATTCTACACTTTGCTGCCTCACACTCATACCCTTCTTCCTATACGTATATTTCCAAATGTGTCTTGCACAACATTGTTTACATATGCAAAACATGCATAGTTACTAGCACTCTTATTCCCTTCCCGAACCCAATTTATCATAATCCACTTCTGTACTACTCACCTTTTTATATGACTTGGACTATTGGTACATTTAACTATCATCAAACACTGTATGTCCAATGGTGGGTGAAGAAACTAGGTTTCTTGGTAACTAGGATCTTGGTAACTGCCAACAAAAGGTGAATAATAACTAAATACAGGTGGATATTACAGGTACTTTTAAATTTGGTCCCAAGGCCTTCGGCTTTCCTCCATGTCTTGTCACTGGTTCCAGGTTTTTCTTCCTCTCAGTCTATATCCAAGTTGGTCATTTGGCAAAATATTGCAAATTTGAGCCTTTAAAAATCCAAATGGATGAGGCTGTAAGAGTTGTTCAATACCTTTTACCTTAGAGAATGATAAACACAGAATCAACTATACACCTACATCTCAGCCTTTACTGCATGACAGTAACTCTATTCTCCTTTGGTAGTCAGAATTGATCATCCCAGACAATATAATGACAGAGATGGATTTTCTGCTTAGAAAGGCTGTTCTAGAGTCACAAAAGACCCAAAATGGCCAGCAGGGACTTTGAACAAATGGGAGAGAATGTAAATCTTGATTTCTAGTTCATCTGATATGTCACATAGTGCAATCAGCATATCAATCTCACAAGTTAGTATCCCTCAGCTGGTGTTAGAGAGGAGTTCTCAATAGGCCAGTCTTTAAGGTTTACCATCTATGAATAATAGGCAAGATAATTTCATTGATACTGTATGAACCTATTTCCTTTCCTTTTTTTCATCTTGAAACAAATTTTTTTCAGTTGAAAGGAGTGCTGTGCATCATTTCATGGTAGTGAATAAAATATTCAATAAGTTATGGATAGCAGTACTTCCTGAAGCATATTAAACACAAAAAGAAAATTCAAATCAACAATTGGTTGTATTGGAGAAAAGAAGTACTGATCTCTTCCCAACTGAAAAGGATCAAAGTTGTCCACTTGTTACCAGGTGGCTGACTGGCACTCCATGATGAGGCCAAAAAAGAAGATCACTTTATTGTTGACATTGTGGTATTCATACTGGCTTTAGTGGTAGAAACTTAGGCTCTTGAGCCCATAGATCACCTCTTCCCTGCCACAATTTCTACCTTATTCATGAACCTCGTTGTTGAAGGAGGTCATCAAGAGTACGTGACGGCCAGTTGATCTGTGGATGTGCTGAGGCAGTTGGAGGCTCCTTACCCACTTCCCTGTCCTTTGAATGCGTGTTCTACTTACCTTCCCCTTACTAGCAGCTACCCCAAGGACATAGCCTTGAGATAGTGAGGTGTTACTGAGACCATCTGAATGGTATATGTGACTGAATTCAATTAAAGCCTCTATATAATCTTTTAAGATTCTGGCAGGTGGGTGCAGAGATCCACTTGTCTTGTGGTGCCCAAGACAAGTCTTGTAAGTAAGTTCCTTTGCTAATTAAAACCTACCACCTACCAATCTGTAGTGGTCTGCCTCTTCAGTCTTTCCTTGCCCTCTGTGTACAGGGGCCAATTTACAAACCAACACTCATTTAGCAACTACTGGCCAAGATGAGAAAGAAGACTTACTGACAACCATAAACTGTGATAACCATAGTTAGCACATTCTGTTTATTACCTGATTCTTGCATGAAAATCCTGGTAAGGAATCTCTGGTAAATATATGCTTACTTATGTTCAGACTTGGATCTATTCTGGTGACCCAAATGATTTCTCTAAATCTTCTTTGTGTCATCCTCCAATTTTGCTTCTTTTGAGTCCTTGGTTATTTCTATCAATAATCTGCTACTTCCCTGAAATCAGTGTAAATCCTTACTTTGAGCCAACCTTCTACTAAGCACAATAGCCAATGAGAAATATCCTTTCCAGTTGTCATCCATGCCATTGCTTGAGATAGACTATAATACCACATAGAGCTTACTTTTCATTGATACTGGGGTCATTTGGTAATCCAGCCTTGAGTGTTTTCATCCTGTGCCAACTGGTCATTAGCTAGTCCTCCCCTCCAAGCAATAGGCATAAATTCAGACAAAGGTGACAGCCAGATAAGTGGTATCATATTGTAGGTACTAAGAAACCATCTCATGGATCTGACTTTTGCCTTTAAGATCTGAATGGGCCATGGGGCACCCATCTTACATATATGACTTCTGCTGGGAATACCTAACTTCATAGCTATATAGACAAGAAAATGTCCAGTCCAGGATGAGGGGCTTTGGTCACGGTTACCTGTTATTGCTAGATACCAGTAAAAAGCTTGTATTTGTTGAAAATAGCATAGGTACTCCAGATACTGATGTGGCCTTGCTCCCAAAGCAATTGCTATGATTATATTAAAACCTGTCATTGGTTTCCCGAAGTTTTGTTCTTCTGCTAAAGATTCTTCTAGAACCGTTAGATCAGCACAAGTTGTAATAGTTAAAATCAAGGCAGTTTTCACCAAAAACTTGATAACCCAAACAGCTGTTTATTTGGTCAAAGTCCCTCTAGAGTTAGAAGCTCTTAGGTCATCCAGTAAAAGGACTTAAGAAAGACATCCATATAGGTTTTATATTTCCAAAATCTAATGGGTCTATCTCCTAGTATAGGGGAACAATTTACAACAGCATGTCCTTCACTTTGGAAGTGATGGCCCACCATCTCTGTATTATTAGGAATTCAGCTGATTACAGAAAACCCAAAATAAGTGACACAAATAAACAGAAGTTTCTCCCTCATGCACAAACTGGGTATGTGATCTGGAACAGGTATGACTCACCTAGTATCTCCTATCTTGTTTCTCTGACATTCTCAACATGCATCTTTTATTTTCCATCTGTAGCTCATGATGGTTCCCTCCAGGCCCTAGCATTTCAGCCTCATTCAAATCAGCAAAAAAAGGGGAATGGGAGAAGGGGAATGTATGTGCCTTCCTTTTAAAGGCAAGATCCGGAAGTTGTACATATACTTTTACTAATATACTATTTGCCAGAATTACAGAGCCACAACTGCCTATGGAGCCACAAATGATTCTAAAATGAAGGCCTATGGATTGTCTATAGCATAAGCATTCGGGATCTTTGCAAAAATATAGATTTATGAACTTCATCCAAGAGATTCCAATTCAGTAGATTAGAAAGCAGGTACTAAATTGGAATCAATATTTATATTGATTCCAAACCAATATTTGGAAACAAAGTTCTGGAGCCCATATTGTTTCATTTGGTTACAGAAACATCTAGAAGAGCAGCTGCAATTCAGTCATCACCAAACTAAGCTTATTGTGAAGGATACTGTGAGGCACTGCCCAGATTCCCCTTCAAAAATAAAGGATTTATTTTCCCAGCTTTTGAGAGTGCTGTCAGAAGATTGCTCTCAGCTGTCTGCCTCCTTCAGGGATTGCCTCAGCTAAAGAAAGCCACAACCCTCAATGTCCTATCCCCTTTCTGGAGAAAAGAGGAGCATCCAGTGACTGATGGACAGTAGAAAGGTTTGGCCCTCTCATCACAACTTGCATCATAAGAATGCCCTGAAAGGTTGACTGAGCCTTCCATTGAAGACACATAATGGCTTGACTTCTCCCTCCATCCAGTTTTGATTCTTTCCTTCTCTTCCACAGTTTTGGATTCCAAGAGCATTCCCTAATAAACCTACTCTTCGTTAATATCCATCTCAGAGTCTGATCCTAGGGAACTGATTCTGCATTGCTTAAGGAAATTTAGCATCATTCTCTAGGATGGATCAATTGTTTGTAACATTCAAGCCTGAGAATTGAATAGGGGAGAATGCAGAAATGAGTCTACCTATGTCTCTCATTTTTGATGGTGGCCTTGAAATGAGCTAAACATATGAATCCTCCACCACTGCCTCTATCTCTCATTTTCTCCCCCTTATATAATAAAAAAGCTTCCTATATGCCGATGAGATAATTTAATGGCTTTAAAAGACAAATGCTTCTACCATAAAATTAATGAGGGGAAAGAAAGTTGATTATTAATACTCAAAATCTAGAATTATAATTTTGTCAGAATACCTTTAAAACTCAATCAATGGGCT